GAAAGCTGATATATGCTTTTAAGTTATACGTATGCACTTCATCCAAATTAACTTGTGTATCGTTTATTTTATAAATGAAACAGCTATATGCAAAAGTGTTATCGGTATTCCATTTTTCAACGTTACAATTATGACGTTAACAGAAATGCCATACTTTTGTTCATGTATAACATAAATGAACGTCATTTGAATTTGTAGAGTTATATATACTGACCTTGTCAAGCCAACAAGAGTGATGAATATAACGAAATAACTTGTTTGATTATTGGTGTGAAATAAACAATGTATATAATACTTAAGCAATGGTAATAGATATATTATAATCAGTGTATGACTTGTATAACTTTTATTTCAGGTAAAACACAGATATATAAACAATGTACGTCCCATACCGAGTGTCCTGCTTACGCGAAATGCCAGCCCAGCGCGTGCGATGGTTACACGTGCCGATGTATGACTGGTTACGTTGCCAGTGACGACAGAGACCGATGTTTAGAAGGTACATCCCCAGCTGTTTACAATATCAAATGTTTTCTTTGTGTATATATGTTTCATTTGTTAATTCATAAACTATAAATGGCACAAAGTTTTCGTAACGTTAGTTTATGATTGGCCACTTATTCGTAAAAATATGAATTTCGCAAAGTAGTTGAAATTACGTATGACTCTTTTACAGAAAAACACGAAAAGATTTTAGTCTCATGTAACATTGTATACTCATTGTCAGGAAAAACACATGTAATTTGGAAGATTTAATGATATTTCAAAATGGAGATAGGCAAATATTTGTTGTACTTTGTCCAGAAGGTTTTCAGTGTAAGCAATGCAAATCGTTTTAAAGTTCGATATAATTCAGTTTTTGCTTCAATACACGAGGGAATTTGATTGCGTGTTAAAAATCTCGCTTACATTTCCTAAGAAATTCTGAAAACAAATAACAAATAGTTGTTGTTGTTTATATTCAAAATTGTGAACCTTGGTAACGTAGATTCACAAACTAATAGTTAATTGAAGTAAGCATAATTAATCGTCTATCCTATTCCGTCTTTGCGTATTGCAGAGTTATCTGCTCTTGTGAACAGGTATTGATTGTTACGTCATTGGTTTGTGAGAGTAACGTCATCAATTTTTGAGAAAACGACGTAATTTTCTCACACAAACCAATGACGTTACAATCAATACCTGCGCCCAAGAGAAGATAACATTGCAATACGCAAAGACGGAATAGTACTGTATGAATGAAATCAATTTTCTGTTTTATATGAAAAGTTATTATGTACACTTCGTATGTCAATAAGGTGTCAGCGCTAGCACCAATTGATATTCATCGTCACTCGCGTGATCCATTATAAGCTATCAAAACTTCTTTTTAATATTTCTTCGCTTTATTATGATACGTTGTTTATCAATTAGGACATACTTAAGACATAGCTCGCTATATATACATGTCATGCATACGGCATTTAAAACATAGTATTCACATATAGTAAAGCATATATTATAGCGCACTCAAACATTTTAGCGCATTATCGATTTTTAATAGATCAGCACATTTATGAATCGACGAACCCCGAAAATATACAATAGAAAACAATTTAAAAGAAATGTTATAACTGTCACAATAATGCCAAGAAAATAAATATCGTAGAAATAAAGTTGGCTTGTTTAGAGTTGAATGTCCTCGAAACAACTGAGGTCACTTGGACTCTTGGATCAGAAAGAAGCTCAACATCAAAAGTTAATAAAAATCAAATGAAGAAGCATGTATACACATTTAAGGTAACACGTGACACTGATTATCATTTCTACGCCACAACGTTCAAAATGTTAAGTGACATGACAAATCTGTAAGTGAAGCAGAGAAGAATTTTGTGTCATTTCCATGTTAAAGGTAGCATTTATCTATCAATGTATTTGTAAAGAAAACAATTAAGCTTTTTTTTAACCTCAATTTCATCACAATTTAATGTGTTTATTCAGCACGTCATTTGATAATCATCAAAACAAAAAACAAAAACAAAAACAACAACAGAATAACAACAACAAAAACAACAACAAAAACAACAACAGAATATCAAACAAGCCAACATTGATTGGACTTCATATTGTATTTTCTACCGATAGTGTATAGCCACCGTTAATTACGAATATTTACGCCCACTCACCACAAGGATATAACAATGATCAATATTATTTATTGTTTTCAACAGTCAAAAACCTTTGCTGATCATTTTGTTCGCGTTATGTGATATATTTGTTGTTTCCGTGACCAAAACTGCAAACTTATCTCAAATATCCCGATATTTCAAATAGTCATCCCCACGTTATTTATTGAGGATCCTTCATGAGTGTCAATATCATGTTGAATTTAATAGTTTGATATTCGCCTAAAGGCTCGTGTCATATCAAATTATTGAACTCGTTTAAAAAATTCAATATGACAGGAACACGAATGTAAGATTCTATTTACCACATAACATTCGTAATTTGAAAAAAATAAACTTCAAACACAATAATGTTTTCTCATCTGACTCTCTTAGGTATAAATCAAAATACTCTGATCATAATATTGTATCTCTGCGCAGTGCATTATAGTTCCATTTATTCTTTTTTTTCCTTAAAATTAGAGATTTAAATGCAATGAAAATAATGATGACATAATTGACATTTCAAATTCATTTGAAATAGCGGTAATGTATCATGTGGCAGAGTAAATCAAAGCATTACATTTAGTGACGTATGAATATGTTCCCATGGTTTTGACCAATCACAGCATCTTTTAGATTATTACACGTGTGTGATACCCTATTTATGACATGGCCGTATGACAAAGTAAACTGGATCAGTTATATGGTAAACCCTAACATAGATATTCCAACAAACAGTTGTCAAAATCAATATGAAATGAAAGAGGCTTAATTTGAAACAAAGTACCATGGAATTCAAAGTGACTGTCTCAGACGTTTTACTGTAACATGCTGTCAGTACTGATGGTATACATGTAGAGTGTCCCGGTATTCTTTGTCCACTGAGAAGAGTTCTTAACTGTTCTGTAATTTTCTGACTTCTTGTAACAACGTACCAAATGTACTTGCCTTTTTACTACAGCAAAATATAATGTACTAATGAAATATGTATATTTCAGATTCCTTCATAATAAAATAGACAAAACAAATATTTTTTTCTCTGTTATGAGGATTTCATTTTCTGAACTTTTGCTTATTTAACGAATTATTATGACGTTCAATACATGCCTTTGTACATTCGATTTTTGTAAATTTGTGCAAGTTGGTAATGTCTCATAATATTTAGGTTGGATTTGGTTATATTTTGTTGTTGTATTTTTGTTGCCATGATGGAGTGGAAGAAAATAAACCTTAAACCTTATCGATTTTTTTTCTCTTTATCATTTAAGCGATGAAATATTTAAATTAAGCTTAGGTTGACTTTTGCCTACAAAAGTGACAATGTCAAATAGTGCACAACTTAAAGAAATAAATAAAAATATATATTTGGGAGGATGACTTATTTTCTAAATATAAGACAAATTACCTTACTTTTCTTACTTTTCTTCACTAGTCACATGAGTGTATGTTGCAATTGATTCGCTTCTCCTGTTCTGTCAGGTAAAACTGTGTTCTACCTTATTTCAGTCAACACGATGTATTGTAGAAAACACAAGTTTCTCCCAACATCCCATGAGACCAAGCAAACCAATCGATAATGCTGTAGTAGAATGTAATCATCACTATACATTTATGTCAGACAAAATTACACTTACGTGTTTCATATATTTTTCGTAGTTTCCCGAAAAAACTTCATTTCGTGGTACATGAATTCATGGACTATGATAACACACTCATACGGAAAATAATTTCATTTCAAACTTGTAATTACTTCGTTGACCTATGAGCTCATGGATGACATGTACTTAAGAAATCAACGAAATTAAGAACCCAACGGAAGGTGGTGATTTCACAATATAATTTATTAGCTCGAATACGATAAAGCATATATATCTTTCTGTCTGTTGTTGCTAATCAAGACTTTAGTCACCAACGATACTCCAGGGGTTACGGACTTTCATTGGTACCAATTATACCGATCTGCAGCTATCACACTATTCAAACCGTACTTGGAAAATATTGATGATACGTTCATGTTTCTTTTATGTCTTTTGCAGCCAAGCGTATGGGTGAAACTTGCGACTGGTTTAAGACGAAATGTATGTCTCCATTCTCCCTATGTCGTGATACCTGTGAGTGTTTCGAGGTGTTTCTGCGGACGGATGACGGCAGGTGTAAATTGCCGGATGTGGCATACATGGGAGAATCCTGCGGAGCAATGAGAGATTGTTTATATCCCTCTGTGTGCAAAAATGGTCGATGCGTCTGCGAGCCACCATACCGGGAAATTTCCGATGAGGAATTCTGGTTGGATCCTATCAGTCCTTTACAGTGTCATAACATTACTTACTCGATACGTAAGTCAACAATTACTGGGCCACGTGATAGACATTTTAATCTCAGTAAAACTAATATTAAATGCATCTAATCATCTAAAAATGTCAGTAGTCTTTCCTTTTTTCGACAGAACAACATATTGTGAAATTACAATGTCATATGTAATATAGGATTATGAACTGCCAATTGCCTCGAGAATGACCATAAGTAAATATGCTTTCTGTTTTGTAGATTCATGTAATGGAACAGATATTGGAATACCACCTGGGTTAATACCAACTACAACAACAACTACAACAACAACAACTACAACTACAACACCGACAACTACTACCACAACACCTACAACGACAACTACCACGCCCACAACTACAACACCGACAACAACTACCACAACACCGACAACTACCACGCCCACAACCACGACGCCCACAACTACTACCACAACACCGACAACGACAACTACCACGCCCACAACCACTACGCCAACAACTACAACAACGACGCCCACAACTACGACAACAACGCCCACAACGACAACTACCATGCCCACAACGACAACAACAACGCCCACAACGACAACTACCACGCCAACAACTACAACAACGATGCCCACAACTACGACAACAACGCCTACAACTACAACTACCACGCCAACAACTACAACCACAACGCCCACAACGACAACTACCACGCCCACAACTACAACTACGACTCCCACAACTACAACTACAACGCCAACTACCACAAGTACGTTTTTCTGATGTTGTATTATTATTGTAGATTTAAACCCAGGGGTAGTTTCTGAAGTAGCAACTCTACCCTTCATGGTATTAATAACAGTCTTCCCTTTCTTATCGATCAAGGAAGAATGTGACATGCTGATTTCTTCCCTGATTGATGTTTAGAATGGTTACTTTAGAAGCATATACAAATAATGAATGAAACCATTTGATATGTTTTATTAACAAAAGGTGACACCTATGCTCTTAAATAGGGTCATTTCTAGGGCAGAGTTTGGTTGATACTACTCTAACATCGCAATCGCCGTCCAGAAAGAAAACTTAATATAAATCAATTTTGTTGTGAACAGGGAACCTCATTAAAAGAATTTGAACTGTTCTTTTAAGCCGTTACCTCATTTTAATCATGCTTTTGAGTAAAATAAACATGTAATTTGAAGGATGATGTTGTACCACTGGCGATTGCCCGTTGTTCAGTCGTGTAAATAATTAAGCCTATTTATCAGAAATGTCCATTAGAATAGACTCTGTCTCATGTGGACGTTTATACTTTATTTGCTGTTCAAGTGAAGCCAATAATAACGGACTTTCCTTCATGTTTTCTTTATGTACGCATGGAAGTATCAATATACGCTCCCTATTCATCCCAATGTACATCCCCTAATAGCATTTAACCTCTCTATTGTGAACACTACACTTTACCTCCCTGGACTGTTTAACATGTGGACCTTACAGTGACTCCCTTCCTGTAAATAATAACTTAATGCTATCATGCTATCCTGCATGCTAACAGATACAAAACAAATACAAAATTTTGAGTCGAATTAATATCGTTTGGTTGGTAATATTCCTGCGGTTATTGGAATTGCATTTACGGTTAACATGAAATACTAGGCAAAGGATAAAGTATCTGTTGAGTTCAAAAGAGTACATTTTGGACGTGTTCCTGAATTTAATAGGCATTTTCTTTCTACGCTATATCTGTTATGTATGGTTAAGAACAAGTTGAACATAGATTTAACTCTTGTGATGTTTATTTTTATTGGCGAATCCTAAATAGACCGATGGCTATACAGTGCAGTAAACATGTTTGCTTTCTTTGACTTTCTACACAGGCAGAACTATTTAAACAGGTTTTCCCTTCTTTATCTTTCATCTGAACATTTGAGTTTTAAAATCAAACCTTTTGCGTACTTTGATATTTGGTGTCACAGCTCTGATTATTTGACATTGAAGGTCGTGGTAAGACTCATAAATCCCTGCAAATAAATGTGTTTGGGTTAAATGGAATCAACACGTCTGTCCGTCGGGCTGTTAACAAAATCTTCTCAGGACATCTCCTCTAAAAGTTTTAATCCAAAACACGAAAATGAGATATCTTTTGATCAAATAATTTCCAAACAACAAACATTTCAACCGAATTATATAAAAACTCAACTGATGTTGTAATTCTTACAAAGATATGTCCAATGAACCAGGATACTATTATTAAAGAATCACTCATGTACAGCAAAACAAATACACATGGATATGTATTTCCCTTGTGCTTGCTCTCTCTCTGATTCGGTTTTGTAGCCAGACATGATCCGCTCTATTCCACGGCAAAACTGTACGTGGCAACATATGGACCGGAGATTTGCTTCGGTTTGCAAGTTTATCCTTTTTTGCTCCTGTTGCAACATTAGAGATTTTGAGAGTATTTTTACCGTCGCGTTGCCTGTCACGTCAGTGAGTATTTCCGTGATCTGCTTGAGGACACCAAAGACTATATCGAAATCTAAGGATATCAAATATACCTTTTCATGCATTTCGTACTTTCTTTTGCACCGTGATCCGTTCATTCGTTTTCCTTCATGAGCCCTGTCATGACTTTTTTTTTACCTGAAAAAATGACCTTAGAAAATATGTTTTAATACTTCGGATTTTGTCATGATCGACTATATCTATGAAAGCAATAAGCGTTAATTGTGCAACGATTTCGGATCGTTTTTGTTAAGAACAAAGCAAGTTTTACCAATCTACATATCAAAAGGTAAGTCATTGTTTGAAGTGATGACGTTTTGGCTTGTATACGTGTTGCACGCTTTACTTGTCGAGACATGACTAAAGAAATGTTGGTTAGTCCCTGAACTAAATTTATTGCACAGGCTATATCAGACCATACAATGTATGTTATGATATAACGAAATAAAACAAAATGTAATATTAATGCTTTAGAACCGATATTTTGGGATTTTAACTGATTGCGGGTGTTTCGATGTCATCGTTGCTCTGTTTTCAAAATGCAGCTATATTTAACGAATTTATAAATGAATAGGTTGCTTCTTAGCAAGCATTTGATTGATTTAGACGTATGTTCGTATCAACTAAAAAAGTTACACCATATTCTTTTGATGATGCGGAACTGACATGTCATTTATATACATATTTGTCAACGAAATTTAAGAACAAGGAGCAGTATCCTTTTCTTCGGGTTTTGTGCTATAAATCACCAGCGAATATGCAGTCAATTACATAAGAAACTTCATGTGCACATGAGTTTTTCGTACATTCCCCAATAGACCAATCAGATGAACTTTATTGCGCACTCTTGCACGTGCTGCACTGTATTAAATGTGCAAATCATTTGATGTTGACGCCCTTCACGCACCACGTTAAGACTTACCTAATAAACCACAAGAATACGAGCACGCCCAATAAACTGCTGCCCCCACCTAGGCACAGCCGCGGTCATACAGTACATATGTGTAAACATTGACAAATGGTTCTAAAAGTAATTGTTTAATGAGGCGTATCCATCCATTCAATATAGAGTTATTTTTGTTTGCTTTTTAATAAATAACCCAGTTTCTAACAGGAGACTGGTAGTGCATTATAAGTGTATTATTTAGTTAGTTTTTTTTAAAAGGTAACTAGTGACAATAATTTCAGCATTATATCCCGTTGCCTCATCCATTTGTTGTATTCAAAATATTCTAATTAACACTGTTATCATCAGTGCATTAAATTATTAAATGACAGGGAAAAATAAGATCTTAACACGATACTAGTGACATTGCATTATATGCGCATGCGTTATTATAAAGGATATATTCGTAGACTGACGATTGAAAAAGCGACGGCAGTTGACATGTGCCCTACTATACTGCGTATATTTATTTTTTCTGCTACTGTCTATCATGTATTCCGTCTTTGCGTATTGCAGAGTTATCTTCTCTTGTGAGCCGGTATTGATTGTTACGTCATTGGTTTGTGTGAGAAAATTATGTCGTTTTCTCAAAAATTGATGACGTTACTCTCACAAACAAATGACGTAACAATCAATACCTGCTCACAAGAGCAGATAACTTTGTAATACGAAAAGACGGAATACTGCAAGTCATGTTGTACTCCGACTCTATGTGCAGTAGTATTTAGATTTGCGTGCTATACTAACACGTACTGGTACAAGGGGGTCTGCATGCTTATAGTCCGTAATTTATTATGTTTCTATATATAATCTTAATTGTTGTATTTATATAAAACTTATCCATTTGTGCATTTTACATCTTTATCTAATGATATGAACTTTGTGGCAAATACTTCGGCAGAACAACTGCAGTGTACAGAACTATGATATTCTTACTTTTCGTATTGCAGAGTTATCTGCGCTTGTGAACAGGTATTGATTGTTACGTCATTGGTTTGTGAGAGTAACGTCATCAATTGTTGAGAAAACGACGTAATTTTCTCACACAAACCAATGACGTAACAATCAATACCTGCTCACAAGAGAAGATTACTCTGCAATACGCAAAGACGAAATATAATACCTTGTGATACTTTTTGATAGAAAATACTCGGGGAAAGGTTTATTTGATTTATATTAACAACAAATGACCTAAATAAATAAATGATGTTATTATTACAGCTATATATGTATATTTGATTATATATTTCGAAATAACCGATAAAGGTTTTATTTGTTCCTACCCAATTTTCTTTTATTAATGTTACCATGCAATGGTTATACGTCTGTATCAAAATTCTGACACCATATTATACTAAGCACGTATATACATTTATACCGATACGATTCAGGAACATCATTTTATATTCTAGATAGACACTGATGTGTATCGCAATTTGTCATGTTGAGCATTAGGCACAGTCCTCAAAGCATAGTCATTTTACTGTAAAACAAATCCGATAAAATTAGTAGATCTGTTATGTGCCATTTAAGATTTAATTTGAAAAATCCTCCCGATTTATAGTTGTAACTTTATTAAGAAAATATTTCTTAAAGCATTAGATTAATTCTCTGTTCACACTTATTGCTGTGATTTAAAATGAACACCATGAAACCCTGATCGTAGTTATTTTCTGCTACAAATTTAAATATGATAGTTAGCATACCTTTAGATTACTAGAGCTTGATATATTTGGTGATAAACATCGTCTTCTTTTAGTGTACTTTATATCACTATTCTATGTACACGTATAATATCCATAAAAAAGTCAAATTTAAAACAAAATTGAATGTCTGTATTTCAAAATAATTATCTGTAAATAAAGGATCATTTTAAGAGGAATGCTTGAAAAAGGATTAAAAATACATATAATGTAATATGGACCGATATAGTATATTTCGCCTAAATATATACAGAAAACTAATACAATTTTATCTGGATTTACGCCAAGCTAAACTTTTATAAATGAGGCTAGTTATATGAGTATTAAATGTAAAACTTTATACTTCTAATTAAATTTTAAATATTTATATATTTTATGCTTAATTCATTTTGTAAACACGACATATTTGGGAAGTCGTACGTTTCATGTAGTAATAATATATGATCTCGAATATTATATTCAAAACTTCAAATATTTAAGTATAATGTATTACCAATGTAATGCGGATACTACTCAAACATACAAAGAAGTAAATATACATAAGATGTTCATTAATAAAAAATGGGCAATATTTTGTTTAACTAATCATATCATTTATTTATGATTTGTTTTAAAATTTTGATTGCAAAATTGTCTTTTGGGACAAATATACTTTTGTCACGCCCTACACAAACATATAAAATAACTTTTTTCTTTGTAGCCCTTAACACAACTGGAAGTGAGTCTGCTTCAAATGTTACGGATGTAAAGAATGGAGGACTAGGTATGTACCATAGTTAATACAATAACATCGCGGTAACTTTAGTGCGTAAAGCTTGTGGTTTGAAAAGGGACGTACACTTCTTTAGTTTCGCTTATATCATACATCCAATTATATTGCTTTACTTTGCTTGATCACGACATACCTGATGCCATATTCGGTGCGGCAAACATTTTCCTTTCCAACCATCTGGTGTTGATTCCGGTGTTTGATCTGGGGTTCTGTAACTTTCTCCTTTTTATTTGCTATCACCGCATTTTCTATTGATTTAACGTGGAAATTCAAACTTTGACATTGTACATTGACGATTAAGTACGAATCTTAATATTTGATATCATAGGTAATATCACAAGCATACCAAATGTATGTACAAACATAGAGTGTTGATTAAACTGGAAACTATGAACTTTATTTTATGTGCATATTTTATTAAAATACAAATCGTCGGATATGCTACCGTACCCAACGCATACTCAAACTAGCATGCAGTATAATTACATAATCACACGCACTTGATGTGTCACCTGCGTGCTATCAGAAATGGTGACGTCACTAGTTCACGTCGAAAGCAAATCTGTCGCCCTTTTATTGCCTTCTAATTTATATGTATAAAAATATAAATAACTAAGTATTCCAACTGAATCTTAATTATGTTTTCATTTCACGAGAATTTGATGAAACATCCGAAGCATTTTGATTGTGTTTAATATCCAGGTGTGACTATAAAGAAGTTTTTTTTAAACAATTTTGAATAATTTGTTCTTATTATCTTTTCAGAGATATTTATCATACCCTCTGTGGCAGGTTTCGTATTCTTAGTCAACATGCTCTGTCTCGTCATGTTGACCTGCGGTAGAAAGAAAAGGAGGAAAAGACAGTAAGATTCAATACCATAATATGAACACTATTCTGTAATAAAAGACATGATAAGATTATATGTACATGTAACAGTTCACCATATGAAATAACATGTATTATTAAAGATATAGTTAGTGTCTACACATGTTATTTGATGCTGAAATATATAGTTTTGGAGAATGGTGAAAATGAAGTAAATAACCAATATGTCTGTGCCTGGAAGATTGGATATTAATATTGTTAACAATAGCCATTATTTAAGATTATTAGTAGAAATATCACCACTAGCAATCAATGACATCTCATTCATTTTTTGCGGCTTATAGCGTTAACTGAATGAAAATCATACACCACAAAAATGTGTGTAATTGACGAATATTGTTTTGCATAGCATTTTGTGCAATAATTTTCACCAAATTCCAGTCTGGAAATGGAAATATGTATTCTCTTATTTCAACACAATTGTAAATGGCCAACAGCCGTTGTTTCCTGCTGCCAAATTATGAATATTTTAAGTCCGAATTGTGCTGGTCAGGGGCATATCATTGTTTGAAATTCTGCACAATTTAACTGCATTATGCAACACTAGAGAAAGAAATGATCTTGTACCTGTACTTGTAGCATTATTTTCCGATAACAAGTGAAAAATTAAATTTTATCAAATTGATGGTCACAGGAGTGTTTCCAAGGGTTTCATATTTATAACAATGGTCTGACCATTTTCCTATCACTAATATGATCTGTCGAAATATTAGTTAAATCACAAGAGAAACAACGATCATATGAAATTCATTGAACCGACATATTTTGAACTCATCTGTGTTCTTTCGTATAACTATAAATCGTGAAAAACATATTTGAATTGTTAATTTTCTTAGTGTCCATCAGAATTTTATCTATTCGATGGGTCATGAAATTTCGTAAAAAAATGTGATTTCTCAGATGAATGAACAAAATCCAGCTCAAATAAAAATAGAGCGATTGTGCAAGAGTTAATTTCAATTTTTGTTTTCCAGGGCGGCCAAAGAAGTGGAAAACCAAGCCCAGAAGTCCTTTCAAAAAAGTGTTAAAGCTGACACTGAATCATTGAATAATTTTAAGATCCCGCGTCCAAGCCTCAATGGACCTATTTATACGAACGATTACAGCACGTGGGGCTCCTCCTTCTCCTCCTTTAGTCCCTATGGCTCTGTCGTGTACCTGAATACGGATGAAGTCATGTACGAGGAAATTGATAAGGGACGAGATGTTGATCCGGTGGAGAAGTACATAACAGAATGAATGGTTCAAGCCCAAACCGACATAAAGGACATAAAAAGGCTCAAACAATGAAAACATATAAAAAAATCTGTGAAAATCTAAGCCATCAAATTTAAGATAAGATCTGCATTGTTATCATTTCAAATGATTGGTATTAGTTTATCATGTCGTTTCTGAACCATTTTAAATGTTTTAGATGCCACTTTAAATAACTATTCATATTATGTTTCTGTCTCATTGATTTTTTATGGGATCCCATGCTGGTGAATATGTCAGTGTCGACATTCCTACATACCATGTAGTTTCCAGCAGCAAATTTACAAGTTCTCCCTCAGGAGGCACGGTACTCTAGTAGTAGGACACCGGGCTCGTGACCGAAGGGTTGCGTGTTCGAGTCACGGCACGGCACTGTGTTGTATCTTTGAGCAAGATACTTTACTCCGCTTGTTCCAGTCTACTCAGCTGTAAATGAGTACGTGGTTGGGCAGTGCTAGAAATGTTGAATGCTAGCTGTTAGCGCCGAAATGGCAGCACCGGCTGTATCCTCCCCATGGAGTTGAGAAAGGTATTGGCTGGTTGCAAAGGCCCGATAACCACGGATACTAATTTGTGAACCGCGTTGAGACGACCTACGAACTAGGTTGTGATAAAGCGGTGAACCTCGAATTATTATTATATTAATATTAATAAAACTTTTATCATCCTCAGTGTATGTTTAAAAAGCGATTTTCGTTTTAATCCCGATGCACCTCTATAGTAAAAAAATATTGAACAAACTTTATAATTTTAGACAAATCGTACCAAATTAAAGAAATACAGCTGGTCTTCCAGTATATCATATATAACGATTATACACTGTTAACTGTGCGTCATTTTGGGTTCAACCATTCAGCGATTTCCTAAGTCATAAATGCAGATTTGTTTTCTCTGAACATTTTACGCCATTCATATCAAAAGTCATTACTCCTAGTATTTTGCCCAAATAAGGTCATGGAATATACACCCATGAACTGCTCCAAGATAGATAACTCACACGGTGTATGGTAAAGGGGTTTATGCAAAACGTGCACGCATTTGTTTCGTTACTGATAATATTAACCGCCCACAAGAACAAATAAAATGTGTTCGACAGTTCTTATCGTTTTATTTAAAAAAAGTTATTACAAAAATCAAAATCTTAAGTATCTTTTTAAAAAATATCTTTCAGAATGTTTTGTTAAAATATATAGTCACATTGAAACGAGAAATGTAAAAATGTTAATTTTTCAGCTTATGATGTCATAGCGTTTGGTAATTTTTATATTTGTTAATACAACCTGATAACTGTAATGTAGGAACTGAGTAATTGTGATTTGTTTTCCTAATTAAGTTTGAATTCGAAGGCTTTTCTTATGCACAGTTCAGTTTCGTTTAGTGAAATTTATATAAACAATGTCTGTACGTGCTAAATGAAAGCAAACCTTTACTTGAAACTTAAAGATTAACTAGTACTCCAATGTGTATAATTAATATACATAATGATAGTACTCCAATGTGTATACTAATTAATGATATGCAACTTTCACGTGCTGACTTTGCATTACATTTGTTTTATCCACTGATGTGTAATACTGTTTGATGCGACTGATACTGAAGTTGATTTTGGTTTTGCATTGGTTGTTTAAATTTTCCCGACATGCAACGTCATTTTTGACGCAGCTCATATGCAATGAAAAATACATATATGTATGCTGTAGAGATTATTAAATGGATTGCCTTTATCAATTATGAAACTCTTAACCGACTCTATAGATAAGGTGTGTCATTTCATCCCAGTTGAAGTAATAAGCGTTAATAATAAATTCCAGTTGCATTAATTTCACCTCACAAACATAAAAAAAAAATTCTAAGAAAGCACCAGCAAACATAATTTAGAGATAAACACTTGAGTAGCAAAAGTACGGCCAATAGGAAATTACTGGTCAACACCTGTCTTTTGACTGTTTGTATAAAGCAAAGTAACCCCTAGAACCCTTAAAAACAGGATTGTCCTGTATCTCACATCGATTAGTTTACTGGCCGTCAGAATATGGCAAGCGACACTTAACACCGATATAACATAAAAAATACCCCGATATTCGATAATAATCCTTAATATCCATCTTGTTATTGAGTTTGATATATACATGTGTATATGTACAATATTTTAATTTTAGTGTTTTAGTCATCATGTAGTGCATTATTTCAAATAACATGTCTCAGTCTGATAAAGGTTTATGGGCATTGGAAGCCATATAAAATATGACTTCAAATTATACCGCTATTATTTCTATACTTACGTCCTATTCTGATGAGGTGCATTTTCCATTGGTGCTGCTAAGCAGACTAAGGAAATCAGAGCCCATTTTATTGCTTAATGATGCAACAGACATCTTATACTTTTTATTCGAATCTTTACCTGCAGGTAAGTATGTGTTACCTCTCTCTATATCAAACATATTAATCAGTAAAAGGACATTCTACTGTATTGACCCAGATAACATTCACTGTACAATACATTCCTTCGTGTTGCCATGCTGTGTTAAAACAAAAATGAACGATTCGGTTAGTACTAAACAGCCTACCGTATCGTAATGGTACCCTGATAGAAATTATCTAGGTAGGTAATAAAACATTAGGCTAAGTTTTGTGATCTAGGTAAAAACTCGAATCTTTTGATCAATCACAGCACAGTCTATACTATCTCCCGATAGTTCTAGGATATTTGGTCTTAAACAAATATATCAAGGTTAATCAGTGATACCCAAACAGAAACTGAGATCTTGTATTCAGTAGGGAAAACATTTCTATGAAATGTCATGAATTCCGATTAAAACTTAATGTTTCAGTAATCAAAAACAATCCTTATTTTATTATAGCGCCATGAAAACTAAATAGAAACTTCGGGTATTCATGGAACGAAATATTTCGTTTTACTGTAGAGCAAAGCTGTTTCATCGTCGTAGCCTCGATATGGAAAAACGGAAATTTTCATTTACGCGTAACATATTTACATAACCAATCCGCTGTAACGTCTCTGTATAGTACCAACGCTTTCAGCGTGTAACATATTTACATAACCAATCAGCTGTAACGTCTCTGTATAGTACCAACGCTTTCAGTCAGTAACATATTAACATAACCAATCTGCTGTAACGTCTCTGTATAGTACCAACGCTTTCAGCCAGTAACATAGCATTTTACTTTTGAATCTTTTTTCTCCATTTTCAGAATGTCTTAGTTATAAGTTATGTTTACGTTCATCTTATTTATTCATAGCCATTATTTCTCAAAGAGGAATTTTGCGAACATATTTGGCTTATGTTGTCTAATGTTAAACCCCATCACTGCACGTTTGTAAAGAAATGATAAATAAAATCGTATTTTTTATATTACATTGCTTTTGCTTTTTTGTTCATTATTTGGATATTTGTCTGTTTGTTTGTTTTTTGTTTTCATTTCGTGTTCTACAATTTATAGCGTTTCCTTTCGCTTTGTAGCTCCTACCATGCTTCTTACAGTATTATCCATACGTTGTTATAATTACAGTATTACAATATCATAATTCATTTACATCATCATTCATATATTATTATCCTTTTATTGTTATTCTTACATTATCATCTAAAAAGTCTCATTCTTATAATATTATTCTTGCATTTTTTTCTTTGTGTTATTATTTTTTCATTGTTATCCATGCATTATCATCTCTTCATTAACAGTTTGCCTTCGTTTTTATAATACCCAAATTGCTTCTTAATATTTTAAATCAGACGTTATTATATTTTTTTTCTATAAACATCTGTCCTTTCTTCCTACTTATTCAGCTGTTCTGAGTGGTGTCAAACCGGCTTGGCTTTTTGTCTGCTCGACAAAGGATTCCTATTTATTTCACTGCATTAATTTATCCTCATCTAATCCTTGATAACTGGGAATGCGTTTTTCTTTTTTCTTTTCTCCTCATAGCTTTATTACTCATTGTTAAAATTCAGTCGTAGGCGAAAGGCTGCCAATAGTGTTTTCTGTGTACCAGGATATATTCGTACAGTCAAACTTTCGCCCTACGCCGATAAAATATGTATTCGCCCAATGTTAATTTCGCCCCTCACGTTAGGTTACTATGTTTCTTATATAGTTTAACAAAGTTCGCTGCAATAGAGGTGGAAAAAACAAACGGAAAAGGCGAAATTTAACTGCGGCAAAAAATTCCCAGTGTGCAGTATATGGTTTGTTTATTAAGTATTATCATGGTTTACTTACATCTCTTATAAGATCAGTTGACGCATGTATTGTCTTTGCTGACGCTCCTCATGAGCAAACATTACATCTCTATCACATTTAACGAATAGTAAATAGATTTATGTGAAAGGTAATAGACAAAATGACACATGGAAAGAAATAAAGAATAAAACACCTGACCCTTTACCATGAAGCAATTTAGACTACAGTCTGATTTTCAGGATGCTGAGATAACAAATATCTATCCACAAAAAGCAGTCTAAAGTGAGTGAAAATGGCCGTACCGACAATTGACACATTTATGATATGAAAACTAAATGTACGCAAATTCAAAGGCATTGTCTGAGAAATTTATTCATAAAAATGTAACTGTTTTATGCGTGAACCGTCACCAAAGACGTTGGTCTTTTTAGCACGAGGTAATACGTGTCGATATGTCTGAAAAATGCAGCAAAAATAAAAGGAGTAAAAACTAGGCGATCAGGGACAGATGGTCTTCTTCCTGCAAAAGCACCGGTCTTTCTGTAGTTTGATTGGCTGCACTAATCAGCGGCAAAGACATAACAACTTGGCTTCGTGTCACTGCGGAAAATTATTTGTAAATAAAACATTAATATATCAACTTTAAATGAGAACAAATCTTGAATATGTATAATTTTCATCCTAGCAACGCCGACTACAACAACTACAACGCCCACTACGACGACAACCACGCCCACTACCACGACAACAACGCCGACTACAACAACTACCACGCCCACCACAACGACAACAACTCCCACTACGACAACAACGACACCCACAACTACAACAACCACGCCCACAACAACAACAACCACGCCCACAACAACAACCACGCCCACAACAACAACCACGACGCCCACAACTACCACAACGACACCAACTACTACAACCACGACGCCCACAACTACAACAACCACGCCCACAACAACAACCACGCCCACAACTACAACACCCACGCCCACAACAACAACAACCACGCCCACAACTACAACACCCACGCCCACAACTACAACAACCACCCCCACAACAACAACAACCCCGCCCACAACAACAACAACCCCGCCCACAACTCCCGCAACGACGCCAACTACTACAACAACAACAACGTCCACAACGACAACTACCACGCCCACAACAACAACAACGACGCCCACAACCACAACAACCACGCCCACAACAACAACCACCACGCCCACAACTACAACAACCACGCCCACAACAACAACAACCACGCCCACAACTACCACAACGACGCCAACTACTACAACAACGACGCCAACTACTACAACAACAACAACCACGCCCACAACTACAACAACGACGCCAACTACTACAACAACAACGCCAACTACTACAACAACAACAACGTCCACAACGACAACTACCACGCCCACAACAACAACAACGACGCCCACAACTACAACAACTACGCCCACTACGACGACAACAACACCAACCTCGACAACACCTTCTCCTTTCGTCCCGGTGTATACATCGTGTACCAGCCATAGTCATTGTCCCCCGAACTCGAGGTGCCGTCCAAACGCTTGCTATGGATTTACATGTCTGTGTGACATAGGTTATATCGTATCCCATGATTCGTTCTCGTGCATAAAAGGTAAGTCACGCTCAACCGTACTCAATATACTACATTCATGTAAATGTATAGCATTAAATTGAGTATACTGCTCTAAAAAATGAACGAATAACACACGCAAAAACAAAAACAAAGTGCCAACAAATTCGTAATTTGCACTCAGAATCGATAAAATTAGGGCAAAGGAGACCATTAAAAAAGTTCCATGAGAACAAGACGTGATGTTGCAGAATTATGAGCATTTTCTGCTTCATTTACGATTATGCCATCAGATCTAAGTCATATCCATGTTTTTTTTTACGTCATCCTAGCAAGAACTTTAAGAAATATTTATTTGATTGAAAAGGGATGATGTTTGTGAGAAAAAAATGAAAATTACATTTAACATTTTTCAACAATCGTTATCATCGAATAAATGTTTGTTAAATCAATGGGTTTCGTTTTTATACAATTTAGCTTCCCGCGTAGGCGAAGCCTGTCATCCGAAGGAGACTCGATGTATATCGCCCTTTTCCGGCTGTCTTGAAACCTGTCGATGTTATGACGCATTCGTTCCGACACCACACGGAAGATGCCGACTCGCCTCGACCAGTTTTGAAGGAGAACCATGTGGAACTATGGGGTGTGAATATCCTGCAAAATGTATAACCGGAACGTGTTCATGCATGCCTCCTTTCCGGTCTATGACGGCAGACGAATTCTGGGTTGATCCTTTGGTTACCGTGCAGTGCCAAAAAGAGGACTTTTCTTTATGTAAGCACCGTTTACTTACCTTATTTTATAAGGCGTTTACCCGATGGTCGACGTTGGGCGGTATAATAATTATCTTCAAATATCAACGATTGGATAATGTTTCATATTTTCTTTTGAGAGTATACAATGAATGATTTAATTGGTTAGAAAATAACCAATTTATTCTATCAATTAAAAAAAAAAAAAAGGAAGACCCCTATATATTCCAACGTGAAATACTATTAGAGAGTACTCGTATGATACCGTACAGATAATATCTTTGAGCGTCGTAATAAATTCTCTCCTCAAAGATAACCAGTTTCCATTGAACGCAAATCATCAATTGATGTCTTGAATAAGTTTATTTCCAGACTGGATTGGCTTGAGGCTTATTTTGAAAACTGAAAAAAAAGTCAAATAGTCTTTAGGGAAAGAATAAATCTGATTCCGTAAAACAACTACAACAACAACAACAACAACAACAAAACCATAAACAATATAAACAATTTATTCTATACTTGACCCTCTGATATTGCAGGGAAGTGTAATGGGACGTTCATTGATATCCCAGAGGAAATGCGGACCACCACGTCAACGACAACAGGTTCGTAACAAAAACAGTGCTAGAAGTTTATATATTACTTCCTTATTTTGCGATTTCCTTTCATATTCATTATATATTTTTGAGAAGATTGATTGTGAAAGTTGAGTTTATAAACACCTGAAATCAGGTGTTTATTGCAGTAATTATATCTCTCATATGATCTCTCAGGCTAATAATAATGTATAAATTTTTAGAAGCGACAACAATGGAAACAACGACAAAAACAACTGCTTCGACACCACAGTTAACAACGACAACGGAAGTCATGACAACCACAACAACGGAAACAACAACGACAACAGATATCCAAACAACCGCCACCACCACCACAACAACTACACCGACAACAACATCGTCTCAAACGACAACAACATTATCTGCTACAACTACAGAGCGTATGAAGGTCAACATATTTGACTCCTGCACGAGACACGAAGAATGCCCGGATAATTCAAGATGTCGCCCGAACTCCTGTGAGGGATTTGTGTGTCTGTGTGACGAGAGATATCTCAAGTCGGGCGACAATACATGGTGTATGGCAGGTATATATTAGACTTGTTATTATTATAAGTTTCCTAACACCTGAGTCATGGGGAAAGTGAACGTTGTTGATCACATACGGTTTATCTGCTGAGGACGTTCTTTGAATCAGGTAATCCTTTTGATAGAATACTAGGAATTTAATTTAATTTTGAATACCTCCCCAATGAATGAATTTTCCATGCTATAGCAAACATGGAAAACCTAAGAAAAAAGAAATACGATGACGTCATATATCCCAATGTCTGGCGCATTATTTTAATTCTACTTTTGATTGGTCGAATTGGCTCGTGAATGAAATTTGCTCGTGAAACATGAGCGGATTCTAAATAAATGATACCTCTGGTTTTCAGCCAGCCGAATCGGAGACCAATGTGACGCTAAGACTAAATGTATGTCCCCGTTCGCTGGATGCCAGACAACATGTAAATGTTACGACCTATTTGTTGCTTCTGCTGACGGTCGGTGTAAACTCTGGTCGTCTGCTTTTGTTGGGGAACCGTGTGGAGAAAAGGGGTGCGAGTTTCCCGCCAAATGCTATGAAGGAATATGCCGCTGTGTGACACCTTACCGGGAGATGTCAACAGAGGAATTCTGGGTAAACCCCCTTGAAACATCACAGTGCCACAGTACCAACTTTTCTTTGGGTAAGCTGTACTGTTAGTATTCTGTATGATAAAAACCAAATATGGAAACAAATACATTGAACAAAGATGTAGGCTGGTTGGTTGGTTGGTTAGCTGTATAGGTTTCAATGTCCTATTGGCAGCTTGGGTCATTTAAGGACGTGGCGCCATGTATATAGTGTATGCGTGCATGTGTGTATGTGTGCTTGAGACAGTGTATGAAGGGTATACTAATGAAAGTACTTTTCAATATGTAACGTATTAAGAGTGAATAAATAAGAAGGGAGGATGGGTGGTGCATTGGATAACGCACGCGCCGTTCACCAAGACAGTTTTCAATGTCCTTCAAAACTAAATTACCACTGCGCACTTTCGTCTGAGCCAACAGGAGTGATTGACATTGTTAACTTAGGTTTACATTGATTATGGTCATAATTTACATGTGGGAATCTACGTTCTCATTTTTCAACAATCCACTAAATTGTTTTACTGGCAACAAAGACTTCCATGAAAATGACTGATCACTTTGTTCTACTTCTTGCTTTAATTTTCCAGTGATGTGCAAAGGAAAGTATATCGATGTTCCCGAACCTCTACTTGGTGAATGGCAGCAACTTGTCGAAGGTAAAAACAAAAGTATTACCTTTCTTTTCCGGTGCCTTATAAGGTTACTAAAAGTGCAACACAGTTTGAGATGATGTTTTTTACGCTACGTATTTTGTGCTGTACCGACGGACCATGATTTGAACTTAAACCTTTAACCTGAGTGTAGCACTAATGCTGTCTCATTCGAGGCCCTGCCAGGGTTAAGACATTTAAAGTGACGTCATAAGTCTTCCAATAGCTATGCTTTAATGTTTATTGGATAAATAACCCGCATCTGCTGTATTTCCTTACTAAAGAATGTATAGATATACCATTCAACCTAAACCCCATTGGCTCTTAGAATTGATCAGGTTTAAATTATGGGAATTATTAAAAAAACAACAACATCAAAATATTATAGAACACGTAGGTAGCTGAACAGTCAAGCCTTCTCAATCCTGCTCCCACTTACCCGGTGTGTAAATCACAGTATAACTAATTGTCTATAAACACATGTTCCTATAGGGAACGCAATACTATTAACAAACTAAAAAGTCACTCTTTTTCCAAGCTTTCGGGCTTAGTCCTTCTGTAGGGATTAAATGTTGTCACATCCATCTTGACTAAAGTTACTCATCCTGTTTGTCAAGATGGATGTGACATAGAGGTCCGGTGACATTTAATCCCTGACGAAGGGCTAAGCCCGAAAGCTTGGAAAAAGAGTGACTTATTAGTTTGTTTATCACAGTATTGTTTTACATTTCGTCCTATACAACTTTCCTTGTTACGAAGCTCTCTTAGATTTCGCCCGATTTTGACTCCTCGATCGAAATTAGCTGATATATATCTGATACATAGCTTATTTACTTGTAAATAACCAGATAATCCTCATCCGTCTGTTCTTTTTGTTAACAGCTTAAACGATACTACTGCACAAATATCTTGTTGAAAAAGCTGTAAAGCAAACGCGATGTAACTTTTATTCTACGTTGATGTATTATAATGAGTAAGAAACGATTACATTGAAACACTGAAACATTGAATTAATAAAATTGATTTCATGTTTCGTCAGCAAAAAGACTAGCAGAAATGGGCACAGCTGTAAGCCAGGAAACGACAACGGAAATGGTATCTACGACTCAATATCAAACAACTACCGCGACAACTATGTCCTGGCTCGGAACCGGAAGTGACGTTATTGGAACAAATCTAAATACCAATCCAAACAGTCGAAAATTGTACACTTCCTGTACCAGTCATAGTCAGTGTCCAACATCCGCTAGATGTCGCCCCAACTCGTGTGACGGTTTCATTTGTCTGTGTGATGCAAACTACACGGCATCAGAAGACCAAAGCTTCTGCTTTCACGGTACGGGAAACAACTCTATCGTAGAATGTAGTCTTTGTGTTCAAAATAAATGTTTAATTAAAAATAAATGTTCAATTTGAATAAATGTTCAATTTGAATAAATGTTCAATTCAATTAAATGGATATAACACTGTATAAAACATAGACATGGTCTTGGAGATGTAATTTTATTTACAAAAAAATATGATGATGTAAAGTATATATCACAGTAACTAAGCAATACAATTAAAATATATAAATGCGATAGCGATTTTCTATACTCATTTTTACCTAAATCAGATCAAATCAACGTTCTTCCAACAATAGTATTCGTTAATTACGAATTTGCTGTAGCGATCTTTTTTTTTCAAATTTATATTACGTTATCTGTTTTCGTCACAACTTCAAGTCCTTTATGTGTTGAAGCTAGAGTTTATAATATTTTGTTTGACTTCAGCTGTAAAAGTTGGCGATGTCTGCAACAAGAACACAGATAAATGTTTGTCTCCCTTTGCAAATTGTGCCGGTACTTGTCAGTGTTATAGTCCGTTTGTACCGACCGATGATGGGCGATGCAGGCACTCTTTGGCGGCCTTTGTCGGCGAATCATGTGGAGGTAGAATTGGGTGCGAGTATCCGGCTACCTGCGAGGATGGCTTGTGCTCGTGTCTAACACCACATAGAAAAATGACTGACGAGGAGGCTTGGATTTACCCGCTACAGACCAAACAGTGTCAGGGGACATCTTTCTCGACTAGTAAGTACAAATATAAAATACTTTTAGGCCGTTTGAATGCAGTTTCAGAAATATACTTAAATTTAAAAAGGAAATAATAATGGAGCTACTGAAAAATTGTCAAATTAGCATCTTATCTTCATATGAAATGGTTGCTACATCTATTTAACGAAGAACGATGGTTGAGAGTTTACTACGTTGAATTTAAGTGAAACAACAATTATAAGAACAGCGTAATCGTATATAAAAGCAATTAAAAGAGAGAAGCCTAATTCGAGATATAAAGATAACTAAACAATACTCGAATAAAACCACCAGAAAAGGCAGAAATATACAGTCTATAGATATGTTTGTGTGTCAACATTTACACTTTTGTTTTAACTTGGTAGGTAGGAGATATGTTAGTTTTTGATAGATGTTTCGTTTCTCTGCCAAACCCAATCCCCGGTGGCAATAACAAACACATACTGATTGCCCCAAAACGCACAGACGACGTCACTTTATCATAATTCACCATCATGATTACCAAACAATCAACTTTACAAAGCTTAAAATAATTTAATAAACCATCTGTACACACAATTATATATCAAATCATTAATCGAATTGTGCGTTCTCATTATAAACAAAATAAGCCGGATCTCACTAGTGCGTTGCCTGAACTGATCTGGCACCGCACGTGCCGCATGTGCATCAGAGTAACGCCACCTGGCGGTCAGCCTGGCAGAGAAAGTAATTCCACGGTCATCACGCGAAATATGATATATGCCTGTCAGAGTTACCTACCTTACGTTCCTGTTGGAGTCCGTAAAGCAACTCACGGAAACAAACGTTTGCTTTATATTCCCCTTACATATTTGGTAGGGAACAAAAGTCGATATTTTACGTGTGTGTCTTGTAAAGGACTAGTCAAATAATCGATATGACTTGTTTATTTTATATATATAGAGAGGTATTTAACGTTAAACAGTATTTGTTTGTGTAAATACTGAAATGTTTTCTAATATGATTTGATAAACTGTTTTCTATTCAGTTTTCCCGTTTACATAAGAAATATGTCTTTGCCTGTAAATAAATACTGCTTATCGTGGTTTTTTTAAAGAAATTATTTTTTTATCTAAACTGCCTCAAACGGTTATTGTTTCATAAATAACTGAATGTCCCCAAAGGAAATATGCTCATTATATCAGACCATTTTTTAAATCTCTTAAAAGATATACACGCATGATACTCTACTATTCCGTCTTTGCGTATTGCAGAGTTATCTTCTCTTGTGAGCAGGTATTGATTGTTACGTCATTTGTTTGTGTGAGTAACGTCATCAATTTTTGAGAAAACGACGTAATTTTCACACACAAACCAATGACGTAACAATCAATACCTGCTCACAAGAGAAGATAACTCTGCAATACGCAAAGACGGAATATCGATAGTGCTCTGTTTTTAAGAAGCAAATACATCTATTGAAGTCATGTATTTCCATTTTTATGGTTACAGTGCTGTGCGACGGGAAGTTGATCAAAGTTCCTGAAGAATTGTTACCCGAGTGGGAGGACTACATCATGGGTAGGAGTATTTTATACCAGTTTGGAATCACATATCACCTATATATGTATTTATCACACATATATATGTATTTATCACACATATATATGTATTTATCAAACATATATATGTATTTATCACACATAGATATGTATTTATCACACATCTATATGTATTTATCAAACATATATATGTATTTATCACACATAGATATGTATTTATCACACATCTATATGTATTTATCACACATATATATGTGTGATACATACATATATATGTTTGCTAAATACATATAGATGTATTTATCACACACACAATCATATTTGTAGTTGTTTGATACTGATATCATATCAGAAAAAAAAACATTGTTCTGTTAATAAATGCAACTTAAACGAAACTCACCTATTTACTCATTGCGAAGATATAAGTACATAGCAAACAAAATGCAGTTGGATTTTCTCTTATGCTTCAATGCAAACAGGCAATACCATTTTGTTTAATTCCTTGAATTCTCTTGGTAAAACCTGCAGTCAAAATTAATAGTACGTCTTTGATGTTACATGTATCAGTGTAAATTGAAGACGTCTTTTGTGTGCACACATTTGATCTAAATTTATGTATTATATTTGCCATAGTCACACTGAATTATGATAGTAATATCAAAAGTGTTCAACATGGTAGGTCAATACTTCAGTAGACTGTTGATAAATTTAATATTTTTAAGAAATTGATTTCGCAGAGAATCTTACATAAACACAATTCGATATCTATACATAATATATAATAGAAAAAAGTGAAGATTTTTGTTTTGGCCAACAGAAGCTCGATAATTTAAGTCTAAAGACTAAATCAATCCTATATGTAGAGAACGTTTTATATACAGTCAAACGTTTAATTTTAAATAAACAGTTTTTAATAATGTCCCTCATTCGATTTGCCACTTCGCTTAACGTCACCATATTTTAAGGTCTCATTCCTTTTTCGTCAATGTATGGCTAAATCTCTTTATAACGCAAGATTTCTCTGGGGAAATGGTGGCAGTAAAATGGGGTTTTAATGTACAATATAAAATATCTATAAACTGGTATACGTAAAGTAGATATATACATGTACACTTCCCTATCATATGAATAATTGTTAAAATTATTATTTTGATTGATTTTAATCGATTTGTTGTAGACATTTATGTACAATTATTGTCTCCCTGATCTTTACTTACAGTGATTACCTCCCCTGATCTCTATGTCCACTGATTACCTCCCTTGATGTCTATGTCTTCTGATTATCTCCCCTGATCTCTATGTCTACTGTTGCTGTTATCAACTTAAAACAACTTTAATATTCTGTGCTTATTTTTGCCCAACCAGCTTATAGGTCAAAGTTCGGAACAACAACTCCATCGTCTACCACATCTACTACTGTAGAAACCACAACTTCCGGTACAACAGCGACATCTACACTGTCAACCTCTACTGCTGGTTATATATCTGACCTTTCGGAACCATGTTCTACGCATGGGCAGTGTCCAACAAACTCCAGGTGTCGCCCAAGGTCGTGTGATGGTTACATGTGTATATGTAATCGAGGCTTCATCGCTTCAGATGACAAGAAAGCATGTCTGAAAGGTAGGGAGTCAAAGGGAGGAAAGCACCCATTCTATTGGTCAAATTGTATCAAAATGTGTAACAAAGTTTGAATTTCGTGACATTATACTTTCAAAAGTCACGGGGAAAAAAATCAAAAACAGAACCAGACATTTTTCATTATGAAATTAAAACGTACTCTTTGAAAGCATTTCTGTTTCTCATGAATAGTAAGACCGAAACGATAATACCAAACCGTTATACATTGATAATATAACTATATAGCTTTCTTTATGCACCTAAAAACAACTACTGAAAGGAATGAAACTGTGCCTCAGAGCTCTATGTTGATATTTCACTGTAAAACAAAAAATCCAGCTATTTTTTTAATGATATAAATGAATTGACTGCAAACATTGCACATTCGTGCATATTGTTCATGAAGGAAAATTATGCAGTCTGTTTTCAATTCATAACAATATTCTCAACATACACTTCTTAGGTACTTGCGTATATTTTGTCACTTGGCATTTTTATTGTCTTTCTCCGACAGCTATTAGAGTTGGGGAACAATGTGACCCGGATGTTTCCAGGTGTGTTTCTCCGTTTGCCGCATGCGCAGGAGTGTGTCGTTGCTACGAGCCCTTCATACCATCTTATGACGGGAGATGTAAAGTTAAAACAGCCAACTTCATCGGAGAGGATTGTGGGAGAAAAGGCTGCGACCATCCCGGAAGTTGCGTCACCGGAACATGTCAGTGTCGTACTCCTTATAGGAAGAAAACTGCAGAGGAGTTTTGGTCCGACCCACTCGAAACTTCTCTCTGTAGCAGAGAAAGCGATTCGTTAAGTATGATATCAAGCTTTCTTTACATTTTTTAAAATGTATTTCACTACAGGCATCCCCCATTGCAATTTTAAATTAAGACAATAATATGCACGTTATTTTGCATTCACAACAGCTTTCTACTATAGTTAATTTATTACATATTGTATATCGGTAAGGAAAGATGGTTGCTTCGGGAATATTATTAACGTATTAATGATGTCATCCGTATGAACTGTCCTATATTTTTAATTACTCAAATGCTGTTTAACGTTCGTGCTTGAATATTCGACCGTCAACCATGAGTAAAGTTTGAACTCAAATGATTTTATTTGACAATCACATAAGAATATATGGCACTCAAACAATAACTCTGAATAGTGTTCAGCATAATATTGTACTTTTAAAATAATATCGGCAAAACAGTTGTACAAATAAATACGGATTTTTTGTCGTGCGATACGACACAATTGCTCTAAGCCATATCAGCCCTCTCCGTATCACACCCCAAAATCCGTATCAGCCCCCGCCGTATCAGCCCGCAAAACCCGTATCAGCCCTCTCCGTATCACACCCCAAAATCCGTATCAGCCCTCTCCGTATCAGCCCGCAAACCCCGTATCACACCCCTTTTGGTCCGTTTTTCAATATTTCAAAAGAAAAATAGATCATAAGATAATAGCTTTTATTAGTAAGTATGTGTTAAACAGAATAAAAAAATGCGTTTTCCCATATCACACCCAGTATCACCCCTCGACCAATAGCGGGTTGATACTGGGTGTGATATGAAAAAAGGCATGTATTATTCTCTATATATTATATGTTATATGATTGTATTCCCCAGGAGAGTGTAACGGTATCCCCATCGACGTCCCGGACGGACTGGTAGAGGACACTTTCTATAGTAATGGTACGTATTGTTACCAATGGTTGTAATAAAGGTATGCATGCCATCTAGGACGAGTACATGTATGGTTAAACGTACGAAGTAAATAATAATAACAGTAGAAGACCAATACGATTGGATGTGCTAGCACATGAAGATTTAATGTGTTTTTCTGGCTAGACATACAAATTCAAGAATTTAAAATTACACTATTACTTAAACAAGGTAAAAACCAAAGTACTCCAATAATAGTTATGTCGTTCCGCGCAGTGCAAAGTAATTCCTGTTTTTTTTTTATTTTTTTGATAATTAACAGTTTTAAAAGTATTGAAGATAATTATAATGACGAATGCCAAATAAACATTTCAAATTCATTTAAAATAGCAGTAAATGTGTTGTGTGGCATAGTAAATAAAACTAGTACATGTAGTGGCGTAGGAATATGTTCCCATCACTTTGACCAATCGTAGCACCTTTAGGTTTTATTACACGTTGTATTACCATGTTTATGACCTGGCCGTATGACATAATAAAATGTATTATTTATAAATTTGTTTTTAGTCGTAGGATGTTTGGAACAGTTATTGTGAGTTGTCCTATGACGTACAGACTAAACTTTATTCGGAGTACAATAACATTTGGACTTAATCTTATTACGAGTGAAATACTTCTTGGATTACTTTATATGCCTGATTTTATTACATTTCGACTACATTTTGCAATTTGTAGAACAAAACAACTTTCGTATAAATAAATCTCACCGGGATTTTAATCAATCGTCAAAATTACGTAAAACACATTTGCATATTGTTCTCCGGTAAATGTTGCTTAAAATATTGCCATAGATATATTTTGTATCAATAAATACCTTCATTTTTCTGAAATCTTCATGAAATTATGCATAAATAAAATCTTGTTTACTTAACAAATTCATGTTTGTGTAACATAGATTTAACAAATTATATCTATTTTGTACCTCAATGGGCTTTTCCGGAAATATTACACGAACTTCTATATAATTCCCCTATAATCGTACTCGATACTTACATACAATACATACAAACAAAAGCGTCGAGATTCCTTGTTTACAGGTATATGAAGCATGTTTAATTTTGTTTACCTTTCGTTACGTTTTGTATTGTAGATACCACATACTGGCAAGATGAGAAAGAGTGGGGTGCGAGAAGAAACAAAACCGGACTATCGGATCCGGATTCGAGTTTGTTTCCTTCGAAACTTTTTACAACCCCTCCAAGCACTGGATTTGACGGGAAAAGTGACGGATCACCGACTTCCGGTAAAGACGGTAACAAGCCTGGTTCACAGGTTTTAGGTAATGAAACAGGAAATGAAACGCCTTGGTGGAACACCGGAAAAGGGAGCGGTCATTCGTTTATGAATCGGAACGATTGGAGACAATACTATGATACAGGTCCAGATGGTTCCGAGGATTATTCAGGATTGTTTCCGTTGGATGAAGGTTGGAAAATGTCAAGCATTCTTGGAAGATGCTTTACGCATGCGCAGTGTCCTGATCAGTCTCACTGCGGTCCAATGGCATGTGACGGATATGTCTGTCTCTGCAATCCCGGATATGTCCCATCAGATGATAGAACTTCTTGTCTAGCGGGTATGTGAACAAATAAATAATATATTTACATTTTAAATGATGAAATAAGATACATTATATAATTATGAACAGTTAATAACTGCAATACAAACTGCTTACAAAGTGTTAAGTAATGAAAACTAAAAATAATTGAGAATGTTACTGTTGATAACTAGGTATATTATCACAACAGCTTTACTCTTCCGTTAAATAAAAAGGCATATATACCTATAACTCAATTCCTTCACTAACCTTCCAGTGTATATAATTAAATTACATATATTTTGAAGTCCAAGTTACAAAGTATTGCTAAGAAAATATCATACAATCAACATTGTTCATGCGATTTACTCAATTAAGAGACCATTTCTGTTAAGTGACCTTTTTTGTTTTCTCCATTGTAGTAACTTCATTGTGAACTGAACTTTTATCAAGAGAAAATCTGGGTTAAGAGACCACTGTTAGGCTTCTCCATGGTGGTCTCTTAACACAGGTTTGGCTGTGTACTATTTTATTATTTATTGATAAGCCTTAATCGTATGCAAGATGCACTTAAGTGATAGTCTCTGTGAATAATCTCATTAGAAATTGATTATATTTTTACGTGAGAGTTATCTACGTTAAACATTATATACACACAATAACGTATGTCATGTGCTATTTCTTCTGTATTATATTTGTTTAGCGGTACTAGTAGGAGATATTTGCAATCCTGCCAATTCAAACTGCTTATCTCCCTTTGCCGACTGTGATGGAACCTGTTCCTGTTATGAAATATTTGAAACGTCACAAGATGGCCGCTGCAGGACGAAAACAGCCGGGTTTATTGGTGATCCATGTGGCGGTAATATGGGTTGTGAATTCCCTTCTACCTGTGTGGATGGACAATGTTCCTGTGTAGATCCATATCGACGACTAACGCGAAAAGAATTTTGGGCCGACATTACCCGCACTAGACAGTGCCAGAGAGAGGACTTTGCACTCTGTAAGTACAATACAAAGATGAGTTATAACTTACTATTTAACCAAAAACAATATAACATATTTGAATAATTAGTATATCATAGATTGTCTTAACGTGGCTAGGCAGGGGAAACACATTTAGGTTATTTTGTTTCAAGTACATGTAAACAATGGATTATAAAATCAAGTTTTTTTGGAGAGAATTGTTTAGCAAGATTTAAAAACGAGTTCAGTAGTACAATTGTTCCTTTAGTGACGTCAGTAAAAATGTCGATCTCGGGTTAAAATGAAATCCATTGTAAAAGGTTAATTGGAAGTTGAATGATAGTGCCCCTGAATTACAGCATTGTGTTATTAGGTAATTGAACATACAGTGTTTCCTTCAAAAAATGATTTTGTAATAAATTCTTTGTATATTTGTGTAACTTACTAGTATACATATAAAGTCTGAACATATTAGATTTTCCAAAAGGTACATAAAGGCAGGTATTGTTATTCCGTCTAATTACTCAATGCATTTAATGATATTTTTTTAAATATTTTTCATTATGTTTTAATTTAAAATGTTCCCATTCACTGGTTAGATTTATGTGATGGAAAACCATTAAAAGTACCGTACGCTCTGAGGAACGAAACGGACGCATTTGGTCGGAGATTGGGAGGATATGGAGCTGACTCACAGATTACAAACGGCGATAAGAATGGTCCGAATGGTGGAACAGCTGGCTCAACTGATGTAACAGCTGATTTACTTGGCGGATATTTAACTGCTGGAAAAGCGGGTAGTTCCCCAGGCCTAGTAAATGGTGCAGACGGATCTAAAGGTGAAAACGTGAATTCACGAAACGGCTCAACTGGTTCAGGCTCCAATACTTCAGGCAGCAACACAAGTGGTTCATTCAATAGAGCAGATGGGTCTAAATATGGAAGAAATGGTTCAAATGAAGGATCAAATGGATCAATGGATAGAACGAGTGGTTCACTTACAGGCGGTGCAGTTAGTGGGCAGGCTAGTGGTATTGGAGCGAACAGTTACGGCAATGGAAAGTATGGATCTGGAGACCCAACCGGAAGTTCAGGTACAGGATCCGGTTCAACAGATGGTTCAGGAACAGGAACTGGAACAAGTTCAACAGGTGGTGGTATAAGAGCGGACAGTAACGGTAATGGGCAGTTTGGATCTGGAGACCCAACCGGAAGTTCAGGTACAGGATCCGGTTCAACAGGTGGTTCAGGAACAGGAACTGGAACAAGTTCAACAGGTGGTGGTATTGGAGCGAACAGTTACGGCAATGAAAAGTTTGGATCTGGGGACCCAACCGGAAGTTCAGGTACAGGATCCGGTTCAACAGATGGTTCAGGAACTGGAACAAATTATTCCAGCAGTGGACACGGAGACCAAGGAAAAGGCAGGTTCCCAGGTAAAAAGTGCTACAAAAATGAATTTATTTATAGTAACACAGTTAACATAAGTCGCTTTATGTCCAATAGTTATATTTTATTGATAGAGTAAAATACTAAAAGGAAAAGAAAATGGATGATTACGAAATCGATACTTTTTGATTTACTACCTGCATGATATTACGTAATATATTATACACACTGTTAGTAACGCATATACAGTATGTGTCACAAATATTAACGTGCCCAAAGTTTTATTTTGTTCCATAACGCCACAAACTATAAATGACGTTGTGTGAAACAAAAACTCGCTAATTGATTCAAGGAGGGAACAATTATTCCACCTGTGGAATTTAAAAAAAGACAAAAAAAAAGTTTGTCAAATGATAATTCATATTTCAAATGTCATGCCGTGCAGTGAGGAACACCCATATTCCTTAAAGTGCGCAGGCGCAAAAATGAAAATATGTCACTGAAATCGCTCCTACAAACATGATGACGATGGAAAAAATACTCCTCAGTCATTAAACCTAGATTTTCTTGAGCAAAAAACCGATCGTCATATCATATATACATTTTTACAATCAAAGCAACCCATGATAGACATTTCCCAATAAGAATAACGTGAAAGGTTAAAGTTGAAAATGAAAAAAAAAAAAAAAAATGAAATAGGAACATAAATACAGTAAAGCAATACCTCGTTTTAATTCCAACATTTTTCTAGTGAAGTTTTAGCGTTATAACGGAGTTAGGCAACAGATTGAGGGAAATGTTTGAAGGAAATATCAAGAAAACAAGGAAAATACACATTGACATAATTGTGTTGGCGATAAACGAGGTTGCAAATGGTACAAGGGCCATTATATCGAGTTTTCACTGTAAATGTATGATGTATAACTTACCTGTATTGTAGTTAATACTCTGTTAATAAACTTATACTACATATACAGTTGGACTCTACAACTACGTACCCCAGGGCGGATTCTTTGTCAGGGAATTTTCACCAATCAAGGCCGACAAGAGCTACACATTCAAGCTATTGGATCTTCAAAAAGACAATCCGGATCTCTCGGCTATCCATCCATCCATTTACAATATGTCTGCTAACTCGAATGGATCCAGTAACTTCATAGACCCGGATGTTATCAATCGGAATCCTAACAGTACTGGTCGTGGATCACAGCCATTATATACCTCCTCTTCGTCTACAAACTCGCGGGGAGGACATCAGGCCGACCGTACGGAGACATTAGATAGTGACAAGGTAAGCGGAGGAATGTTTTCTACATCGCCGGATGTCGTAAAACATACAACGCAAGGGACTAATTTTAACACAGATTTGGTGTCGTCCTCACGTGGTGATTTGAATTCAAAGGGAGAGGGTAATCAGTACGGCAGGAACGAGTTCGACCATAACAGGGATCAAACAGGTAAAATACATTGTTTTATTTATAACCATTATTTCTTATTGTCTAATTTTGACGATTGCTTTCAACTTATTCAACTTAATTATTAATCAATTTATTTTGTATTGTTGTTTCACTCTCATCACCGAATCCCCCCTCAAAACAAAGAAAGAAAAAAAAAATCGCGACGCATTTTGATTTTAATCAAATGTGAAGAGTATCTCAATCTACATGTACTTTAGGAAACTTGTCTTTTGTCCATATTTTAGTATATGGGATGAACTAAGCGTATTTGTTATACAGGTAGCAAAGGTAATGGATTTTGCGAAAATACTTAGTTTATTTTCCCGAGATAATTCCGCGAGTTGGATAAAACGTAGTAACAATAATATCCTTCTCAAATCGATATTATAGTAACACTGACCAGGATGTGTTACTAAAAATAGTTGATTTCGTGAAAAATGTACACCATTTATGGAATTTATTGAATGATTCATTTTCCTTTTGTATACTGATACGATTTTGTTTTATTTTTCTGTTTTCACTCAGAACATAACAAGGTAAAATTGCGATTAAGTTTATGTTAACTTTTGGTAAACAGGTGTTGACAAAGACGTTAATAAAACGAACAGTGAGAATCCAGGCCAGAACCCGGATGTTTATGAGGCAGATATATCAGGTAAGGTCACACGTTTTATACAAGCTTATGTAGTATATACACAAAAATATCATTTGATTTTTGGTGTATCCGACTTGTTAATCAAATGTTTCGAGTTGTTTTTCAAAGAATAATTTGTTGGACAATTCAAAAGTTGAAGTTTCAGTTGTAAAGCAATGTAGAAAATATAAACAAACTTATATATCTTCACATCTGAGGATATTGGATTCTTTATCGTTTTATATTGACTAAGCAGAATGGTATTTCTAATCACTGCATTCAAAGTCGAAGGTTGTCCCTTTAGCTGCAGCAAAAAATAAGAGTTTGTTAGCTTTGTTGCACTATATTAACATTACTCTATATTTGATAACAGTGTTAAGCTCATCAAGAACCAGATAACAAAGAAAACGATCGAACTAAATAGCTTAAACAACACGGCGTTCTTTCTTGATCCCAATTGCCGTATTATTAAAATAGCCCACCAAGGAATATTCTATTATATCACACACTTTGTTAATGCAGTACTACTCATGCATTTGCATAACATATTAAATTAATGGTTTCCCGATTTAACGGCATATATTTATTTAAGTGGAATGTTATAACAAAAGAAACCACTCGCACTCAGTGTGTTCTGCCAAACTCGTAAGTGTGATTTTGAAAAATAAACCATTAAATATCCTCTAAACTTCACCTGATATTAAATCTTGATCTTGTCACCATCACTTTGGTGAGTGTTTTTATCGAGAGCATGTTTTTCTTCTCCCCAGAAACGATCCTGATGTCGGGGGCTATAGCGGGTGTGTTTCTCCTGAACATGGTCTGCATCATTCTCCTCATAACCAACAGAAGGCGAAAAAAGTAAACGTCACAGTACATAGATTTCAACAAATCACAGTATTTTATTTATTAAATTCATTTAAAATAGACGCCTTTGAATCAAAGCATATATTTTTGATATATGCATTATATTATAAAATCATAAACGTTACGTTACATTTGAGAGAACGATACGGTCGATTTTAGAAGTAATATTATGTTTGCATTGTAGAGTTTTATCAATATTTGAATGCTATCTCGATTTTAAATGTTTAGTTTTGATTTCAGTCTTTGAAATAGGTTCCATATGCTTGTAGCCAGTTTATGAATATTTCTGAAACATTTCGGATTTTATCATATACTATTGATATTAGCTATAAGTTATTACCTATAGGGATAATAAACATTGCGAGAGTTGTAGCAGTTTTTATGTTTATGTAAATTGGTACAGAAATAGCATTGCCACTCCTATTCCGTCTTTGCGTATTGCAGAGTTATCTTCTCTTGTGAGCAGGTATTGATTGTTACGTCATTGGTTTGTGTGAGAAAATTGCGTCGTTTTCTCCAAAATTGATGACGTTACTCTCACAAACAAATGACGTAACAACCAATACCTGCTCACAAGAGCAGATAACTTTGCAATACGAAAAGACGGAATAAGCTGACCAAGCGTTGACAGGAACCATAAATTGTTAAATAAACTTTTCAGGAGGAAAAGAGAAGAGAAAGCCAGGGAAGATGCTAACGAACGTTCAACTTTGTCGGAGTACGAGGCGTACCAATTAGCGTGTCCGTACGTCACACTGCCATCCAGGCCTCGTGTGACGATTACATCCGGGCCGTATGTTTCCATGTCTACTGAGTTTAAGTCGGAAAAGTCGTCGAGTGCATATGTGACGTCGTCAAGTGGAGTAGAGTCTGGGTATTCAACTCTTCCTGAGACAAGTACAGGAAGTGAGGTAGACTCACGAGGAAACTTGTTTGATTCTCTAAGGATTCCAAGGCCTCATGTAAAGAAGGGTGTTAATAATATATTAGGTGATACAGATGTGACGTCATCTTCCACGATGACGTCATCAATTACGTCACGTAAAAGGAGTAGTACAATGACATATACAACTGCAAAAGACAGTGATATAAAATATTGGTTTTGTGAAATACCCCGACCGATTGTGTCGTTTGCTAAACTAAAAAATAATGGAAGTTGGGGTACATGGCCAAAATCTGAGCCAAACCCATACATTGAATCAGTAGCTTCTTCGACTGGTAACCATACTTACGAGGAAATCATTCCTAGCAACACTAGTGATACATCCGTTTGAAAGACACATCAAAGGACTATTGAAACGAGTTCAGTTTGCTCTGCAAAAAAATAATTTGGAAATATTTTATGTATGTAGAAGGTGGGGATGGAATGGAAAGGGTATGGGGTATTTATTCAAACTTTACAAATACATGTTTATATTTTTTTGTGTAAACATTTTAATAAACATATTAATTCAAAATAGATATGTATGAAACATAACACGTATTGGCTTTGCTCTAGGTAAACAAGCAGCTTATTTGGAGAAAAAATCGATCTTGAGTTGTTTATATAAACTTCATAATTTCAAAATAAACATGCTTTACATGTTAAACTATATGCTAAGGCCAGTAAAGGTCACCAACATACTCTGTAGAACAACTTGAACTAAATGTCAAGCTGTACTCCGTAAAATTTTAGATTTATTGTGCTTAGTTAATCGGAACTTTGGATCGCGTAGGAGTAACTCAAGGATTAACTCAAGTAGTACACGTTATCCACCATTGAGGGCATTTACACATGTATTAAGAAGAAAACTTACAGTTCGTATGCACATCTTTTGTTTCCAGATTTTAATGTGATATGAAGGTGGTGCATGAAGCTATACACTGCCTGATGGAGGGTTTTGTCAGAACGCTTGAATCTAGAAAGGCAATTGCATCTACTTAATTACGTTCTTATAACGGCATTTTTGATAGGCATTATGTTTGAGATTAATTATTTAAGGAAGTTAAACTTGCACAGAAAACTAGACATAAATATGGCTTTAAAATGTGCAATATATATATATATATATTGCTGTATTTGTAGAATAGATAACGGTTGTGCATTTGTTTTCATTTTGTATTCGACCCAGATCGGAGAACATCAGTATTTGTTTGGTGCTACGGCTTCCGGTTAAATCAATAGCAATAAAATGGTCATTTTTTCCGCTTAATATAATTTTGAAGTACCAATAGTATTGTTAGTGGTTTCTTTCATGTATACCATTTTATCTGAAATCGTAGATTACAAAAATACATTAGTTGTACAATTCTTAATAACGGAAATGATTAATGTTGGAAATTTCTTTAGTATGATATATAAGGAGAAAAGAATCATCAAAATTTCAATATACATGAAGTGAAAAAAACGTATTGACATCTTTGTTTTGAATTAACCTAGAAAATGTTAATACAAAACTGTTGAACGGTTGTATTTTTTTCTTAAAGATTATCTGACTCAAAGGATCAAGTTAACGAAATTATGTTTCATAAAATAATCAACAATGAAACATATGTGTTGCCTTAATTTTCGTTTTAAGGAAAATGTACCCCTAAAGTATCTAGTGCGAAAACAAATTTCGTTTTTACAGCTGTTTTTAAGGAGAGTTCTCTATTTTGTGTAGACGACTCCTTTACTTTATACTTTTGCGTTGCGTTACATACTGAAATATTGTGTAAGATGCATCGCAAAATGTTACAAAAATTCAATTTTACTGAATCGTATTTTTTACCTGACTGCATATATTGAAGATCATACTGATAAAAACATCGACAAATTTGGTATAATTCAGATGAAATAGTCAAATGTTGGTATACTTTTTATTGTAGAACAGATGATAACCAGGAAAAAAAACCCACATAGAAAACGCCGCGATTGCTTCCGTTTTATGACGTCATTGCATTGTTATTGTCATGTCACGTTATTTTGCATGTTTTATATCCAGATTAATGTGATGTTAATGTAATATTGAATAATATCCAAATAAGATAATACTAAAGACATTCATTATCATACCCCTTGCTATAACTGTTTTATTGTTGATCATATGAAATCGTGCTTTTTTTGTCAATGTGTTCAGTTTGGGTGGAAGAATGGACGTTAATGTTTTATTGTATCAAATTAATTTCAGTTCCTACTATAGATAATTTTGATGAAATGTGAATCAACAAGTTTCATTGAAGAGAGTTTGATATGTTAATCAAAAGTACAATCACCTTTTTTGCCGTCGCTTTGCAATTGTGACGTCATCGTATTGTCCCTTATGACGTCACAATAAATGACATACTACATATTTTTCACATCTAAATTGTCAGTGATCGTCCTAAAATGAATTACCTGCCTTGCCTAAATTGGATTAATGTCTGAGAACACATTATGAGTAAAGTGTCATAGTATTGTATAAATATGGGCAATTCTAATTTGGAGGTATGTGTTTTCAATGCACAAAGGGTAGTTTTTAGTTTTAAAGAATGATTCTTGTTTGTCAGTTTGTGTTGTGTAAGAATGAAAAAGGAACTTGATATCATATTTGGCAACACTATAATGTATCATTGTTGAATGACAATTATCGTCTTTAACGCATCACATTTCGCTAATAGTGAACTATTTTTATGTCATTAAACATAGTTTTAAACGTCTGCTTATTATCGTCCACTTGCTAAAAGAACCGACACTTTTTGTGGCATATTGGTTAAGGACACCAGTCCAATAGTCTAGTTTAACGTAATTTTATTGCAATTTTGCAAGGTGCTTTTTATTTCTGGCTTTCTTTTTGCAGATATTTGTGGCTTACGGTAACGATTTTGAGCATATGACTTTATTTGAAAGAGTTCTTGCAATGAATGTAATTGTTTGAGGTGAACGAAATCCTTATATGAATGTATCTTTTAAGTTGCAAAGAGAATGTTATTTAATTTGTATCACATAGTAATGTAATACCGTCCTTTATTTTGCATATCATTTTGAGTTTTCAAATGACATTTTCAGTTATTCTGCACTCTCTCTTGAAAAAATTTAGTTGTGAACATTGGCAATTATAAGCAGTATCTTGCGTCACGAGTAAAGCAATCATGTAACCTCAATGAGATTTCCACGTCGTAACATGTATCCGTACAAGAATATCATTTGAAAAATGCTGTAATTGAATAATCAAAGTGATATCTAGACATTAGACACTTAACTATGCATACGTCATGCAATTTGAATGATTCTAAACGTCGATATCCAATTGAGCACTTTGTAATAAAATTTAATGTTTTATATAGTAGAGTTGATAGTTTTGTTTGTTATCAAGTCTGATAGTTTTGTTTAAAACCTTTAAATATGTAAGCTCAAATGACATTGGGAAATTTTGTCGCATAAAAATGAACGGAAGACAAACACATGTTCTTGCACAGGTATAAAGTTTGGTTATGCCAAAGTATGCCAAAAAATGAACTACATTTCACCATATAGATCTTTTGTCCTTTTAGTTGTCATCGGTGATGCTAGGGACCACAAGTGTGGAAAGCAAAATTAGTCTAAACAACTGTTGAAACAGAATATATATATATATAATAATATTAAAAAGGGATTAAATGTCCATGTGAAGGAAGTAAATATAGAAAAAATAAGATTAACGACCGACTAAAAAACTAGCTGCTTCGGGATAAACCTGAAGAGTACTGTGAAGGGTGAAATCAGCTAGTTTTTAAGTCGGTCGTTAATCTTATTTTTCTATATATGTATATATATATAGACATTAAACGAAAAAGATATCAGTTGAGCAGTTGAGTGGTAACATATATAAATACCATAATGAATTGAGCAAGGTTGAACCAGACGACCATTTATTCTGCCGGCAAGCTTCATCTAAACTGGAAACTGAAAACTGAAAAATCTATGCATGAATAGAATGTACCGTTTTGATTGGACAATACTAAGAGTGCAATCTTTACATGTGAATATATAATATTTCGTTTATCTTTAATGTATTGAAGATATAGAGGTTACACAACGAGTGGTTGTTGAATATGGTATTTATTTCACTCGAGTTAGTTAATTTTCAAAAGTTACAAAAGACACGAGCTTTAGCGAGTGTCTTTCTGTAACTTTTGAAAATTAACTAACGAGAGTTAATAAATACCATACTCAACAACCACGAGTCGTGTGATCTGTTTCTACCACAATCTCACGAACATACACACATGTGTTTGTTGACAAGGCTGGCGTAGTGATATGACCCCTATGTAAAAAGTCACTCATTAATATTCAAAAATGACTTTCTTTTACAAATTTAATTATTGTCAAAATTAATGTTTCGGCAACAACTTCGTGAAAAAATAAAATAGATAAATGACTTTAAATATTGAGAGTATCAGTATTGCATTCATTTATATAAATTAACCACGTTGTAGACGAACTTATCGCTGTCAATATCCAAAACCATAGGCCTACGTTTCTTCGTGACGGTTCTATGGTTGAAGTTTATAGTGAAAGTTCAGCCATAGTCAGACCGTCTAAATAGCGATAACGAGACGTTGGGAGAAGAAAATATTTCCCGACACTGTGACAGATCTTGTTTTGGTTTCACGACCTGGACACGCGACGGTGTGACGTCGAAACAATATTGAGCTTCTGTAGCAATTTTGCCTGAAACTAGCGGTCAAATCTTTAAGTATCATCTTTTAGTATTGCCTTAATANATAGCCCCCCCCCCCCCCTTTCCGCATAACCTCACAAAGTCACCAACATTTGTCGGATGCTGACAATCGACGACGTAAACAAAACAGCAGGTGGCAAAAATCACATGGAAAAAGTCTTCCCGGTCAAAGTTCATCTTCTCGACCAATCACAACTCGTGAAGGTCATATACCACGTGTGGTATATAACTCATATTTATCTAACAGTCTGCGTGTTTATACAATGATCTGAGAGTGGAATAACACAGCGTATTGTAGTAGAAACGTTTTTATTAAATTAAGAATTCATGATATATCACTAGTAAAATGTAATAAATACGGACACCGTATGGGTTCACTATCATACTTTTGTAGATAGCATGCCGCCTCAATTTCCCAGAAGGCTTTCACGCATGGGGAAGCACCGGAAGTGGACAAAGTGTTTACAGATCAAACCCCATAATATAAGTTTCAAATATAAGATGAAAATCTTGTAAATTTTAAATGAATTATGAGAAAAGTATTTTTTATATAATTATCCCCGTCATTGCTCAAAAGAGGTTACTGTTACACTCTACCATCAAGGTTACGGTTTTTCGCGGCGATCATGGACGCGTCTAAAAAAGTGAAATCAAAACTTTTTATATATAATTAATTTGCATACAGTAAAGCTTGTTTTTAAATTACAGTTGTTAACACAGAGGTGTCATTTTTAAGGTTATGATTTTAACATCAGGCGGATAATGTATAGTTCTTTTGGTAAATCCATCACTTATATCAGTTGAAAAAAAATCTTTAAAGGGACAATTTAGTTAAGTAAGTGGTTTTTATAATCATATCACAAAATGCTTCATCATGGTATAGTTCGGTACTCCTTATGAACAATTCATGTCACGAAATTGACAAGAAACAATGTTTTCTTTGCTTTTTTCATCAGTAATGAAGAAATCCGAAACTGTACAACCTAAGTTTTAGATGTCGGTGAATTTCTAGCTTACAAAAGCTAGTTTTCAAGCCGAGGAGAGAAGGTAAACTATCGCTTTATCCATCTGGGATCTTAGGAATACAAGTACAGGCATTTATTCTGAATCAAAAGCATCTTCCAATCAACATCTAAATCACTTTTATGCATAAGTAATTAATTTTATGTTTAGATACATCAATATGGTACTGTCTGCAGTGTGACATTCCCCGTGCGGCTCCCTCTTAGTGTGTGCATACTCTAACTAAACCCGTTTGCTTTTATTCAAATCTAACGTGTTAACATAAATATCTTATTGGATTTATATATCATAATACTAATAATTCTTCCTTGCGGTGTTTTGTGTAAATTCAAAGCGACAAGAATGTGTTACGTGTGAAATCAGACTTACAACTGACACTGTGTTGTCGGTCGACAGCGTGGTAATTTACATGGTAACCTCTCACTGAAAGACACGAGTTTTGCGCTATTTATAATAATAATAATAATAATAATAATAGACTTTATTTAAATTCGATAACACATTGAGTCAATGACTCGTCTCACATGTGGTCGACATAAAATGTACAATATTTACAACAGAAATTGTTGGATTTCGGATGCACCTATTTTTATCACCGGCTTTCCCAAAAACTGAAACTGACGACACTGGACGTTGTCCTCAGGTTATGTCATTATCAACCACGCACGTTTTCGTCAGAAGATATATATTTTTAGTATCGACTCGACTCGATTTACAGGTTGTCATTTGACTAAATAGGCCCTTTAAAAAAAGGTTGAATAAGAAACAATCAATTATCGAAAATAAAACATATAAAACAATAATTAACAGTTTATCGATGATTTTACAAATATTTAGATCGTCACTACGGTCGAAAAAAACTAAACAACCAGACACAAAGACGATATATAAAAAGCCGATGAGACATCTACGCGAAAAAATGAGAAATATTCAACCCCCACCGTAAACCCGGGGCAATGGTATTATTCCAGATTTGGAATCGTTTTCTGCTCCATACGACCCTCGTTACTATGTGACCAAGTAACAACTAGTGTCTAGCTAGGTCAGTACATGCGCTTTCATCCGCAACGCTTTCCTAGAAAACAGAAAAGGATTACAGGAAACATTATACAATTTTCGATAAATTGACAATATATCTAGATCTGTGTCTATGGCCTCGTCAATTGCGAAAACTTTACTTTCTAACTGTATCTGATAATCTGAATAAACGACAATGACAATAGGAAGTAGGGCTGCATGAACAAACGCTAGGTTAATTTTTATATAAGTTCTGCATGATTTTAAAAAAGAATTGATTTGGTGTAATTTTATTTTTTTAGAAATTCAAAAATTACGATATTTCAAGATGATAGCTGCTGGACTTTTCAGCTGTCAAAAACACAGCAAAGGATTTCTCTTAAATGTTTTGTCGATATTCAAACTCTTTTTCTGAAAGAAATAAAATCAACATTTATTTCTTGTTTGGGATAAATGTTTGTCAGGTTATATAGCTATAAAACATTTTATTTGATGGGTTTTTTTGGGTTTTTTTTAAGTAAAGCATTTCAAGATGATATTACTCTGATCACTGTGCATGCTCTAATTAATCTTAATTGTATAATCCTTCTGTACGGGATAGAATATCATAGTTTATATAGAGTCGAGGAACACCAAATTTGTCTGATAAGAAAAGGAATGAGAATATAATATTTGAAACTAAGAAATAAACACTTACCTTAAAACAACGGTGTCATGTAGTGAGTAAGGCGTGAGCGAAATTAAAGTTCACGAAGGGGTAGACAAAGAAGCAGCTTTGTGTCGCACGTAAAGCGTTAGGTGCAAAACACCTTATATGTCACATTTATTACAGACCAGCAGACCCGTAAAAATAATGTTTTATAGAAAAATGCAATTGAATAATTTTGAACCCAATAATGATAATATTTAGCAACAGACATGTTAAAAAAAAATATAGTAACCAACAACATAAATATCGTAAGAACAAAGAAAAACATTAAAAATGATTTTGAATTTTGCGATATCAGCGCCCGAATCAAATCACAAGAAGATAAGTAAAAATTGGGTAACGTTACAATGTACCAAATACAAACATAATGTAGTTATGAGCTGAACAATAGTTTGTATATGACGATAGCAAAACAAAAGAAAGTATTGGTTAGATTGAATGACGTGTAGCTGATGGTGTGCATGATCTGGTGGAAAGATGGGAAATGTGACTTTATGCTTATTTTCCTTCTTTTCCTCCATCATGCAAAGAGATGCTAAAAGTGAATAATTATCATTTTACTTAAAACTAATATACAGTACCAGGACGAGATCTTACCGGCGCCTTGCAAGGCCGCTGTGGTGTTGGATGACCCCTGTATTACCCCAATCACACACCTGAGGCGATAAAATGAGTGTTATGTTGATAATTCAGCTATACCGCTTTACATTTACAAAAGATTCAGAACTAAAAGATTCTTATGCAAATATCCAGTCATATCCTGTTAGCCAAGATTAAGTGATAATTAGAGCTGTTACATTTGTTTTGTTTAGATCAAGCAGAAAAGGGTCTTCAAGTTGTTTCTCTACAGGGAGTCATGCAACATTCAGACCATCTCATGCAACGACCCCTTCTGCGCTGAGAAACCATTATATATATTCTCCATTATAGTGATTTCAATGTACATCCATTGCACATTGTACAACGACACTGTATTAAGGGACCAACTGTGTTATAAGATACCACCACGCATGATCCTCTGTGTAGTGGTTTCATTGTGAATTGAACCTGTATGTTTCAAGAGACCAAATTGAAAGAGGTATCGAGTGTGGTATCATAGGACAGGTTTGACCAGGATTTGGGGTTGCAAATGAAATATATGTTAATTTTGTTAAGCAGGATACGCTGACGGAAAAGGACTTCTTGTTTTCATGTAATTAAAATGAGAGATGATGATTATTCTAATTCTGTAGAAAAAGTTGAAGGAAGACTAGAACACCGGTAAACTTAATGGATAATGCTTCCCGAAACGGAAGAACAAAGTGACTCTTTGGAACCTAATAAGACCTTGACCTCTGCCGCACAGACCGAATTGTAATTTGCGATACATCGCCTAAGTTTCATTGAACTAACTTCAGCTAATCAGAAAGCATGGCCAGGGCAATGAATTATGCCTTCTACTTCAACGTGACGAACGAACGTATGGGGAAAACGGACTGTATGCTTTCAGGTTTTTCCCGGCGATCTGAAAGCTTGAAGTAGAGTCAACAAAAATGGCAAAAGAATCAAAGAAATTCACATTCAACAGGACAAAGCAACAGTAACTGATCTGAGTTTTAAATAACAAATGAATTTACCTGAGACCAGTTTCGTGTAGTTGACATAAACCTGTGGGACAGGACTGAGTGGCGCATGCGTCGTACGTAACATCACATCTGGCTCCGTGGAATCCCGACGGACAGATACACACGATGCCTGTGTATGAGTCCATACATGTTCCGCCCCTGTGACATGTCGTTACGTCACAGAGAGAAGCTTAAAGTCAAATATAATACATACATAATACATACATAATACATACAAAATACATACATAATACATACATAATACATACAAAATACATACATAATACATACATAATACATACATAATACATACATAATACATACATACAAAATGGACATATTAAGGATCACAGTCATATTGCTAACAACTGAAAACTGGGGATGGAGATGTCTTTTCGGGATAATTATAGCTAAAATAAATCAATTCTGAATGCCCTACGGAACTTTTTATGGAAATAAAATGACATAAAAATAAGAAATGAGATATGAAGACCAACAAGATTTATCGAAGAGTAAAACAGCAACAGGTTACGATCGGGATCTGGACCCCAAATCGCAATAATGTCGCTGTATACCAATTGAGCTATCTGATGAGCAGATAATGTCTGGCCCAGTCCCATAACATTAATATAAAAACGAAAAATAAGGGGACGATGCTGTGTGTATGATATACTGCCGTGAATTACTCTAGTAATTTGCCTGTAGGGGGACAGGTATCGGTAATAACAAGTCTAAATATCAAATATCATTAACGTAACTTCAATTCACATTTCGATCAGTACATCTGCAAAAAATAACTAAACTGTGGCATTGCAGAAATTGTATTAAATATTAACATTGTTTTCAAATAGGATTGATAATTATTATATAAGGGTTACTTATGGATTACAAGTTAAATGTTATGATCATTTGCTTTAAATAATAAAACCGTGTAATATCAACAAACTTTCATGGGGACATAAATATAGACTATTTCCAAAAATTTGAAATCTTATTGCAAAAATTGACTCAGATTAGTACTTACGTGGTAAATATACATACCGTTATGTTGTCGGAAAGGCGCGAAAAAACGCGTATATCGAGCGACTTACTACAATAATTCTATACATGTATTATGTAACGAAATGATAATAAAGAAAACGATAAAACATTTAATTTTTCTTCAAACAACCTTACAGGAATTATCAAATTAATAGATTGACGTTTGCATTCAAATTACAATCTAAATAAGGATCTACAGAATGTTCGTTTCCTATTAGAACAAAAATTGCAAGAGGACGGAATCATTCTGGAAACAGGGTTGTTGGAATGCAGCAAACATACCAGCATCAATATTGATAAGCACAATGAGCAGAAAACATTTGCGGGAAATGGATTTCGTAATTACGAATTTTCTATATAAAGGTAATAAGGTTAAAAGTACATCATTTTACCAGTTTAATAACATGAACACACATCGGTGAAGCCCTACAGATCCCCTGTGTCCTTTTTATAGCAAGTTTCGTTACATTAATGACATAATATATTGAAGTAAATTACAATTGTGTGATGTATTTTAAATTATTTACCCAAATACATATTTCAAAGGATTGTTAGCATTGACCAGTGCTCAGGAAAAATTTCAAAATATAAATACATTAAAATCAAGAATATTTGATTTTAAATACTATAGACTGTTTGAGACAAATAGCATTGATATGCTTTAAAAAAAACTTCGTTTCTTATTGGAAACAATTTGATTTTTTCACTAACAACTGGTTAAACTTAACAAACCTTTCAGCAATCGGGTCCATTATTTTTTAAATGTCAATTTTTCTGAATATATTTAAAATAAATCCTTTTTATACTTTAACATTTAGTTGATCTTGTTATAGCGGAATTAATTGGAACATCGAAACAGAAGTAACACAGTGTCTTCTGAATCTATTAAGTGTCACGGGAAGTTTCTTTTAATATTTTTGAGAGTTTTTTTGACATTTTTAATCGTCAGCATTGAATTGTTGATGAATAGTTTTATAACGTATTGTCAGCTATAAACCTCAAATCTCTATAAAACTGCTTAAAGCCTAATTGATCATGATTCCTTAAACTTAATAATTATGTTTGGACAATTCTTTTATAATACAATATTAACAGTTTGTAGTAAGTATAAACATAATTCCATACACATATACATACTGCAAACATGGTATGTAGATAGTTATAACGTTCGGGAAACTGTAAATATCTATTTCACATCATGAAATCAGATGAAAGAGGAACTAAACATAGTCAAGTGAAGATCAAAACAAAAGTATTTACAACACTATACTATGTAAACAGCAATGTATGTCAATAATGTATAGAGCAACCTTCTACTATGTAAACAGCAATGTATGTCAATAATGTATAGAGCACTATGTAAACAGCAATGTATGTCAATAATGTATAGAGCAACACTATACTATATAAACAGCAATGTATGTCAATAATGTATAGAGCAACACTATACTATATAAACAGCAATGTATGTCAATAATGTATAGTGCAACACTATACTATGTAAACAGCAATGTATGTCAATAATGTATAGAGCAACACTATACTATATAAACAGCAATGTATGTCAATAATGTATAGAGCAACACTATACTATATAAACAGCAATGTATGTCAATAATGTATAGAGCAACACTATACTATATAAACAGCAATGTATGTCAATAATGTATAGAGCAACACTATACTATATAAACAGCAATGTATGTCAATAATGTATAGAGCAACACTATACTATATAAACAGCAATGTATGTCAATAATGTATAGAGCAACACTATACTATATAAACAGCAATGTATGTCAATAATGTATAGAGCAACACTATACTATATAAACAGCAATGTATGTCAATAATGTATAGTGCAACCTTATACTATATAAACAGCAATGTATGTCAATAATGTATAGAGCAACACTATACTATGTAAACAGCAATGTATGTCAATAATGTATAGAACAACACTATACTATGTAAACAGCAATGTATGTCAATAATGTATAGAGAGAAACACTATACTATATAAACAGCAATGAATGTCAATAATGTATAGAGCAACATTCTACTATCTAAACAGCAATGTATGTCAATAATGTATAGAACAACACTATACTATGTAAACAGCAAGGTATGTCAATAATGTATAGAACAACACTATACTATATAAACAGCAATGTATGTCAATAATGTATAGTGTAACACTATACTATGTAAACAGCTATGTATGTCAATAATGTATAGTGTAACACTATACTATGTAAACAGCAATGTATGTCAATAATGTATAGAGCAACAAAGAAACGTTAATATAATGCTATAAACTTTACCTTGTAATCCCTGTACTGAAGAAGCGTCTGTAGACACGCACCTGAAATGTAAGATATTGATTTACTGCATGTGTTATATCTATATCAACGTACATTATTGGTCCAAAATTAACGAAAACTGCTTTATTTAAAAATGAGTCAACTTACTTTGTTTCCTGAGGGCAACATTCTTGTATTTATGCATGTTAGTTTGGAGAATTTTCCATAACATCAGTATTTTTACCTATGGGAAACTCCAAGTTAAGGAACGCTAAGGAAGCTGATTTCGCCAAGTGTTTTACCGTTTCTGTGGAAACCAATAGTTTTAGCTAAGTTCGGATTGCTTTGTCACTTGCATTACGTGACCGTTCTGTCAGGGTTAGGATTGATGACAATATTAATTGATGGGTCAGTTGCCGTGAAATGTTAACTATGTTTTTTTTTAGTAGAACACCATTATCGGGAAAACCGAGCAAAGAGAACCACTACAAAACAGCGCGTCATGCATTTAGTTTTAAATGCATAATAAGAGGCATATACTATGTACCAAATGCTATTTTTTATGTTTTATTTTATTGAAATGCAACATATACTATTTTCAAAACTACAATGAACGGCATACATATTAATCTCAAGTCAGAAACTCCATCAACGTTTCCACGTGAATATCTAAGTAAGGTGTAAGAATATGATGAGTATATGTAGAAGTAATGTACAATATCATAATTCAGTAATGAAATCAACTTTCAAGGATAGGACATCTTCTGAAGATGACAAGGACATTATAAGTTTTGTCTACGAATGAGGGGTGTATCCATTTGAATTTGATCTTATTTAGGTAAAAATCATCCTGGAGAGTGCTTTTTTCGCTGTGGTATATTTTCAAATTCATAACCTGCTATCTTAGTGCAGAGTTAATAAAAAATGAACAGACACACTTTTTTTTTTTTTTTTTTTTTTTTTAATTGTGATTGATTCTCTGCGATCCATACACATATAAGACACAAAATGAATATAGGAACTTATATGCGATACGACATTTCATAAAAACAAACAAGTTGAAAGGGAAACTTCATAACTTACTTGTGTTTCGACCCCTCAATTACGCATGTACTATTTATGCAAGGGTCACTTGCACATGCGTCAATGATTTCGTCACATGCACTTCCGGTCCATCCTTCGGAACAAACACACTTGAAACCAAGATTTTCTTGAATGCATGTAGCATTGTTGTGACAAGATGACGTCATACACGATGCAGTTGTTGATTGGTTAACTACTGTGGGGGCTATGGTTATAGAGTTTTCGCAGTTTTTCCCGCCATATCCAACTGGGCATATGCAGTTATAGCCGGTATACTTATCTTCACAGAGGCCGAGACCACAGTCTGCCACTGTGCATGTCGGTATATTACAAAGCGAACCTATAATATTGAAAAAAATGGTTATGTTACAATCTTGCACATTAAGTTAAAATATTGATCCTAATAAAACAGATTACACATTAAAAAGTGAGATCTGAATGGCTTTATATTAATGCAAGCAATGCATACTGAAAAATGGCTTATTATCAAACCATAAGCGCAAAGTGGAACTTCAATCCAATATAAAAACACAAAAACAGCAAAACTACTAGCATTTAACAACACATTCAAGATAAAAAAATAAATAAAAAATAAATAGAAAAAATACAGAAATACAACAAGATACAAACATAAATTAACAAGCAGAAAAAAAAATAAGCAAGTAATAAATACAATTTGTACTAACGTTCTGATGTTGAAATCTGTCACATTTCCGCGTATTCGCGAAAACAGCTACAGCATAGCACGATTAAGCTTTACAGCCAGATTAAATATATCGTTATCGTATGAAACGGTATTATACTTAAGAGAATTTATTTTTCATGAAGAATTTAAAAACAATTTGATTGAAATTGTAATTCCAATGCAAATATATTCATACCTACCAATGTAACCATTAGCGCACGCGCATGTGTATCCGGCTTGACTTTGGCTACAGGTACCATGGTGACAGGGTGATTGGGAACAGGGGTCATAGGTCATGTTACATTGTTGACGGTATTTGTTATCTGGACATAAACAGACGTAGCCTTCCGGAACATTGACGTATGAGTAACAACGTCCCGGGTTGCAATCGTTTACGTGAAGTTCACATGCAGTCATAGCTACGTCGCAGAATTTGCCTTTGAACTCAGCGTTACACTGACACGTGTACCCAGTGTTGTTTCTGACACAGCTTCCGTTGTGACAGTTGACTTCAGCACAAAGGTCAATACTTGTCTCGCAGTATTTCCCGGTAAATCCACTATCACATGTACAAAGTACATCCAGGTTTGTTGTTGAGGTGCAGCGGCCATGTTTACATGGCGAGAAAGTGCAAAGGTCAACGGCCAGTCTATCACAGTTCCTTCCGGTATATCCCACAATACATTTACATATATAGTCGTCGGTAGTTTCACCGCACGTGCCCTGTTGACACGGATTTGACATGCACGGTGTTAATTTCATGTTGCAGTGTTTTCCCACATATCCATCTATGCAGGTACACGTGTAATTGTACCGACTGGTAATGACGCATGCGCCGTGATCACATGGGTTATCTGCGCAAGCGCCGATGAACTTCTCGCACCTATCCCCCGTAAATTCGTGCGTACAATTGCACGAATAACCATTGACCTGGTCAACGCATTGTCCGTGGAACAGACATGGCGAAGAAGCGCACTCATCAACATTGACCTCACAGAATTGACCGGCGAACCCAGCTGGACATTCGCACACATAACTCGTGTTTTTGGCGATACAGGTAGCGCTGTTCTTACATTGGCTGCTTTCACAGGGGTCCACAGTTACTAAATTAAAACGAAACTGAGTGCGATAGCATCACTCTCGATGTACCGAGAAATTATGATTGACTGCACTGATAACGATTTGCTGGGGTATTGTTTTGTTTTCAGTACAAGTCTGCTGTTGAACAATATTGCCATTATTTTTTAAAGTGCACTGTCACGTGATTTAAACATCACTATATATATAATTTAAGCTAGAAACAGGATACAATGAGGCACTAGACGGAAGATTCTTTGGAACAAGCTTCGTAAATTTTTAAGTAATATTTTTGAATGTGCTAACTTAAATTAAAAGGTGTTTGCTATTTGTTTTGCAATATGAACACCAGTAATATTATTTAATCAGTAAAACTGAATTAAAAATAAAAATATATCGGTATAATTTTATAAACGAACGAAAAATAATTTTCGTTTTTTTTCTCTCTTTAGAACGACAAAAATACTTATTCTTACCAAACTGATATATTGACTCAAACGCCATCGAAACGTCATCAGCTGTGTATGTGACGTACAATGACCCGGATGTAGATGTAAGCAAGGGCGGATGTGATCTATCGCTTGTCGAGTGACAATAGTGTCCGAGAACACTTCCGGTTCCGGAAATTCCGTCATGGACAGTCAATCCGGCTCTGTTTTGGCCATTACAAACGTCCTGGCCAAAGAAAACGGTCGGAAACAAAATCTGGACCTGTTTTCCCGATGGAGCCTCGATTATCATGTGACAGTGAGCATGGCGGATTGACTGATAAGGGAAGTGGAGAGAAGCGAGAACCCGGGGTCCGTAGTTCTCCGGGATGGTCACGTTACACGGCCAGCCTGTAAATAAACAATTCAAGTTAAAGGTTGTCTAAAGCAAATACAGCAAAAAGTTACAAATTGGTAGAAACTTCATCAAGTTGAGATCATTAATATCAATTCAGAACAATGAATAAGTATCATTAATACTATAAACGGTCCGGTTGAACGTTAAAAGATCGTATGTATCTCGAGATCACGATTGCTTAGAAATAGAAGAAAGTCGTGTCTATATTAAGATAAATCGTATACCGCAAATGAAGTCGATTTGGATTTGTGTTAGCCAAAAGCGATACAACTCGAGGGTAAAATGTTAGTTTGAAACGCTATAAATAATTTTCGGAGCGATCCGCTCCTTTTTCAAGACACAGTGAAACAGAACAGTTACATGTACATATACATCATATTATCTATCGTTTAATATCGTGTACAACACCTATTGACGTTCAAACGATACAAATGACAAGAACCTGACTGAGTTAAGTAAAACCCTATAAGTGTGTGTCCCGGATATCCACATGTTATAATGAATGAAAAGATGACGTCATACTTGTGTAGTATTGGTAGTGATTGTAAATCTGACTCTGGAGAAGGCTGATCTCCTCGTGTCCGTCTCCGTAAAACACGTTACTGAGGCCGCACGCGCCTGTGTTGGGACTATGGGAAAACGACAGGCATGTCTGTACCGTACTGCCCATGCACGCGTATGCGCATTCTTCAAGCGTCTTGTTGAGTTTGATAGCGAAGTATGTATTCTGCTGCTTCAGCGCGGCGTGATCTCGACTTTGGAACAAGTTGGCATATGACGCTGAAATCAAGTAGAAGGTATGTAAATTATTATTTTGATTTGTTTATCCTTTTCAGACTTAGTCTATGTCGCTGCATAGTGAAACAGCTGTGCCACTTGGAAAGTTTTATTTCTTTTACGTAGGGTAAATATGTTTTTATTAGATATTTGAAATACAAAATTAATCTAGCAAGTGGAATGAACCTTTATGTCACGAGCGTTTGACGTGTAGTTACCACGAAATAGATTGTGGTACAGTGTAGCTGAAAATAACATTAGTTGAGTGTCATTTTTGAAATATAAACAGTGGCGTAGCATACTAAAATGTTCAAGATGTATTTATTAAAAAAAAAATGATATGGGCCGTCTGTCAATCAATCGTAAAAAGGAAAGAATGAAATGAAAAACAATCTTCTTGAACATTTTAGTCTTATTAAAACAATGAAAAATCTCAAAGGTGTATGTTCTAAATAAAAAAAACTAGTTAGTGAAGTACAAAATTATTATTATTTATATAAAAAAGTCGTGTTTTACTTGTTGATATACGAGAGATTGCTTCTAGGGCCTATTATAATTCTATTATTTACAATCTATAGAAGGGGGATCTCCCCCTCCCATCTTCCCACACACCCTCCTCCTCCGGCGCTATGCGCCTCGGACGCTCGACCTCCTGTAAGCATACACTCCGAAAAATGATTTGCTACGTCACTGATTAAGGAATATCAAAATTTCGATTTTTTTGAATAGAACAAGTAAAATGTTGTCTTAGTGGTTTTTAATGCCTACCTTTGCTTCGCTCGTAATAATCGACAGCTGGGTTGTCTTTTAATCCAAGAAACCCGCCATTAATGACGAGTGACGTCACATTAGTGTGCACGCACATTCTACTTCCGGATGTGTACTCAAATGCATAGCACGGGAATGTGTTCATCCGGAATGCCAAAGTGCATTTTGCCGCGCAAAGTTTGAGACTGACGTCATGGATAATTTTGATTGAATTCCTTGGAATAGGGGCGACGAATTTGCCAGGAGCTTGTACATACTCACTCAAGGGGACAGGGGCTAGAATAAAAAAAATACCACAATATGTTAATGCAGTATCGACCATTTCCCATTTCACTCTCACCAGAGAATTTAAAGCATGTTCACTTGTAGTTGCTATTGTTTTGCTGGGATTCAACTTCACAAATTTCACGAGTTATATCGAATTCGAGATCTGATATTGGTTTTTAATACACATTTTAACTTTATTTATTTTTTTATCGGGGATTTATTCTAAAATCAACAAGATGAGGTGTTTTTTCACTGTTATACTCACTGTTAGATGAGACAAGGCCGATAACCACTGTAAATAAAACGGACACAGAATACGAACGGACGTCCATGCCTGACCGAACTAAATATGCTACTGGCTACTGTATATGTATGTATATATGTACACGTATCTCACTTCTTCTGATACAGTTATTACAGATACCGTACCACGCCCACTCTGCCATATACAGATGTAAGAACAGCGTGCCACGCCCCCTCTCCTATCTAGTTAACATGTGTTTGGATGTTGCGACACGCTCCATCTCTTTCAGAGCAGGTGTACAGATAAGGCTGGTTTATATTCAGATATCCCGCCACGCCCACCTTCCTGAGAACAGGTGTGTAGATAGCGCGCCACGCCCCCTTCCCGCTCCCATGCAGGTGTATAGATACCTAAGCTAAGATACGATACCTATTGCTGTAAATACGTACATATCAATTCTTATCGATACACAAATTGATATTTGTATCATATAGAGATACAAATTGTATTTAACTAAAGAACTAGATATTTTCATTAATTACACTTTTAATATAGCTGTAACGAGAAAAGGCCATAATCCTTAGTTGGTTAGAGCTACAGTATACAGTTGGAGGTCCAGAGTTCCAACCCTGGTCTGACTCTGTTTGAAATTTACACCCAAAACACTAGTTTTCGCAACGCGTGTCTGTTTTTAAGGTATTAATATAAATCAAAACCAATGTTTACATAGTGTTTGGAATTATAACTTTTTATTTAATCACTCAATTTTTCCATTAATGTCTGGTGAAAGCTGAACAAATGTGGAAATGTTATTCAACAATACAAAGATGTTTGCGACTGATATATGGTTTCCGTCACAAAGACAACTATTGCTTTTCTGTTAGTAAGTTAAGCTTACGATGTCGCTTGAAAGTATTAACTACAAAAAATGTATAACTTAAGGCAGCGACATATGATTCCATGTAGTGGTAAAGGTGGGTTTACTTTCATATAAAATAGAATAGCACCTTAACTCTAACACAAATTACAGGTATAAAGTGTGAGGTGGCATATAACCTTAACTCTACCACAGATCACAGGTATAAAGTGTGAGGTAGCATATAACCTTAACGCTAACACGAATTACAGGTATAATGTGTGAGGTAGCATATAACCTTAACACTACCACAGATCACAGGTATAAAGTGTGAGGTAGCATATAACCTTAACGCTNCTTAACTCTAACACAGATCACAGGTATAAAGTGTGAGGTAGCATATAACCTTAACTCTAACACAAATCACAGGTATAAAGTGTGAGGTAGCATATAACCTTAACACTACCACAGATCAAAGGTATAAAGTGTGAGGTGGCATATAACCTTAAATCTAACACGAATTACAGGTAAAATGTGTGATGTAGCATATATCCTTAACTCTTACACAGATCACAGGTATAAAGTGTGAGGTAGCATATAACCTTAACTCTAACACAGATCACAGGTATAAAGTGTGAGGTAGCACATAACCTTAACTCTAACACAAATCACAGGTATAAAGTGTGAGGTAGAATATAACCTTCACACTAACACAAATCACAGGTATAAAGTGTGAGGTAGCATATAACCTTAACTCTAACACAAATCACAGGTATAAAGTGTGAGGTAGCATATAACCTTAACTCTAACACAGATAACAAGTATAAAGTGTGAGGTAGCATATAACCTTCACACTAACACGAATTACAGGTATAAAGTGTGAGGTAGCATATATCCTTAACTCTACCACAGATGACAGGCATAAAGTGTGAGGTAGCATATAACCTTAACTCTAACACAAATCACAGGTATAAAGTGTGAGGTAGCATATAACCTTAACTCTACCACAGATCACAGGTATAAAGTGTGAGGTAGCATATAACCTTAACTCTAACACAGATCACAGGTATAAAGTGTGAGGTGGCATATAACCTTAACTCTAACACAAATCACAGGTATAATGCTTAATGTAGCATATAACCTTAACTCTAACACAGAACACAGGTATAAAGTGTGAGGTAGCATATAACCTTAACTCTAACACAGATAACAAGTATAAAGTGTGAGGTAGCATATAACCTTAACTCTAATACAAATCACAGGTATAAAGTGTGAGGTAGCATATAACCTTAACTCTACCACAGATCACAGGTATAAAGTGTGAGGTAGCACATAACCTTAACTCTAACACAAATCACAGGTATAAAGTGTGAGGTAGCATATAAACTTAACTGTACCACAGATCACAGGTATAAAGTGTGAGGTAGCATATAACCTTAACTCTAACACAGATTACAGGTATAAAGTGTGAGGTAGCATTATAACCTTAACTCTAATACAAATCACAGGTATAAAGTGTGAGGTAGCATATAACCTTAACTCTAACACGAATCACAAGTTTAATGTATAAGATGGCATAACGATAATTCTAACACAAATCACATGTAAAATGTGTAAGGTAGCATATCACCTGAACCCTAACACAATTTGTATCCTATCTCTTATCGACATAATCCAAACAGATATCGCAGGTGCAATGTATACAGTACAGGAATGAAACATATTTCCTAAATCATATCTTTATAGAATTATCGTTATGAAATATGACCTTTTCCTTTTCATGAAATAAGGGAACTAACTCTTCCGCATCAACTTGAACTTAATTCTTATCATCCCCGACCTATTATATTGAGCTGCGTCAATATTTATCGAAATTTAACTTTATAAAACGATAACTTCTTTATAAAATGTCTTAAACCATTTTATTTTCACGACTCACACAGTTACATTATTTATACTGATTCCTAGCATAGAATTTGTGTTTAGGTTCTAAATAATTAAAAGAAAAAAATCAATGTATATATAAACATAAAAGTGTGAGATTATTTACGTTAAGTTGACTATACTTCAGATACCCAATAAACTTAAGTTACTGAAGTACATACGTGTGTACCATGCTCCCACGTGACTGTATTTCTTCCCTACTTTACGAGAGGTCGCTATCTCGAACGAGATAAAGGAGGGATTGAAATAGCTCTGTTGTCAGGGTGAGGGTACCTACCCTCCAGATAGGCGAGTTTTCTCAAGGGGCACAGGAGAGGGCAACCTGTTCTTTGCAATATTTATTTAGAGATCAATTAAAGACGATTCATACTCATTATTTTTATACCATTTATTCATACATTATTAATGAGGAGAAGTCAGTTAAAAGTAATACCCGTGAAGTTAACCCTTTCAGCACTGTAGACCAAAATGAACTCATCCAGATCAATGCACGGTAGAGTCTACTGAAGTTATATAGGGGTGAAAGGGTTAATGGATGGTTGCGTCACCCTCTCTAGCTATAGTCTCAAGTATGAACGGGAGGTCCGGGATTTTAGTCGGTGAAATTTTACCAGATCAGTTGTTTTAACTGCCAAACAATTTAAATGTATGTAAAATAAATGGTACGTTGTGTTAGTTGTAAGTTTAAGGAATATTTGAGAATCCTACGTAAGCTAAATGTGTCCCTTCAAATGTAATGAACACTGTAAAAGTATTTTGTTATTTTTTTTTGTGTAAATTTTAATAAAGGATTAAGCAAATAAGGAGTTTACTTGTTGCTTCTGGTAGGAGGTCACATTTTACTGTAGTTCTATTGTTGCTAGCATTTATGGTGGCTCGATGTCATCTAAATATCCTCTTCTACCCCCAAATCCATCCCCCCCCCAACCCATCCCCCTTTACCAAAACTGCACTACTTCCCCCAGCACAGCATGATAAAGCAGATAATATATCACCCACCCCTTTTAGTTGTACGTAAACAAAAATGTTAACACATATATATTTCCCTCGTCAAATTGCAATCAAATATTTGTTATAATATACGTCACTGTACCTGGTTATAAACAATGTGAAACAAATAATATCAAACTTGTTTTCAAGTCAAGAAATATTTTTAATTCACTGAAGCCCTTTCCATCAGAAGTATATATAATGAGAGCTAGTTTATTATTATTTGAATATTTAATGAGGGTTGTTGTGTTAAAGGGAAAAAAAACAATCGCGTGATGAGGAGACCAACGCCTTTTTTTCGTTTGAGGTGAATCATCTGAATAATAATAATAATTGGAGGTTCTTATATACCGCTTTATCACATCCTAGTTCGTAGGTCGTCTCAAAGCGGTTCACAAATTATTATCTTCCATCACTAACACGTACATTTAATGTAACGAAACATAAATATAAACTGTTCCAAACATTATTCATATTCCTTCAAATAAAGTTAAATCTTTATAAAAAAAAAAAAAAAAACGAAGTGAAGGATACATCTGGGTTCCTATCAGAAAAGGTATCTTAACAAAGCATGAATATACTGTAAACAAGCGGACGTTGTAAGGAACGTGAATAGGATGATCTCCGAAGAAATGATTGCTCAATAGTGATCCATTTGGAATACCCTTTCGTCATTTTCTACGAAACTGAGGTAGCATAGTCGAGATGTTCCGAATGAATAGTGATCGTCTCTCGAGCAGACTTAACCCCCAGTGATATCACCCCTCAGTCTTTTTCATATCGCCCACGCTCTGATGATATTCCCCTGTCGTATAAGCCATGACGAACATATGCAGTGCTCAGAGGTACGCGGACACGAATATCCAAGTAATTCAGACTCCGGACTTACAATAATGTATATATGAGATAGTGTATAAATAAATCCGCTAAGTCAACTTTATAACGCACCAATAAGTAGGATGTTATCATGGTTTAAACCCATACCACTATAAACTACGTCACAAACACTTCCTTATCACAATGCTGTCATCGATTTCAAATTTGAAGATTAACCGGAAGTCCTGTGACGTCATACATTATTGTAGCTGTTTATATATCTAATGGGCGAGGGAGGTTTCAGATTTATGAATGTATTTTTATCTTTGATTTCCACCTGAGTCTTACCTGTGGTATTTCCTCAATACCTGACGACCTGTCTATTTTACGTCGACACCCCAAATGCCGAACTTTGACCTTACTACATTGTAAACAAACTACCGACGCAGTTTCGTATTTTAGTATTTATATCGCTGCAACATCTACCTGTGAATTATTTCAAGCTATCTGTGATTCCCGAGTGCTACATGAATTATTCGTGACTCACCTGTACACGTTTAAGAGTCGTATTAGGACTATATCTGCACACCTTTGCCAACACGCGTGTACCTTGTGATAAAACCCGACTACTTGACCAGAAAATTCGAAGGATTTATTACTATTTCCGTTTAGTGGGAAATAAAAAGTGTTGTAACCAAATTTCGTTTTGGCTATTCAGCTGACTGTTATCGCCGGGTATTGACATTATTTCCATTGCCTGGATTTCAAAAGTTTGAAAATGGACGTACAGTTTGCCTGTTTGTTGCTATCAGTGGTTTGTATGGTAGGTTTGGGCGCCTCGGCCCCGGCGGTCGACACAGGTAAGTGTGATGTAGATTATATTGTATAACGAGAAGGGGTTAACGGGATGTATATATGTATAGAAATAGATCAGAAATGTATCCGTTTGCTATATATGTGTTAGAGACAGATAGTGTTATGGTTTGCAGGCGCTAGCTGACTTTACATTATGTCTAGCGATCCGTAAACCTCAGTCACACCGGATCGTATGATACATCGATCGTACAACAAATCGACAATGTTTGTTACGATCTCAATTGCATCAGGATCGCATACGGCGATTGCTCTTGAGATTGTTTGTAATCGTACAAACACACACGACATATGCGACTACTCGCACGATCTTTCTACGATTTGCATGCGATTCCAACATTTATCAGTTGCAGCTAGGCCGTATCCTGGTCGCAGGCCCGGTGTGACTGGCTTTAAAAGTGTTTGTGATCGTGTATTCATGGAAATATCTGGCGAAAAACAACACCATATCAATGTAAGAAGAAAGGTAGTTAAAATGTGGGATGTGCAGGATCAAACAGAGACATAGTGTCTGGAATATTGAAAACAGCGTTGAAAAAGACTATTGGCAAAATAACGGGAAATGGATGTAGAACAAAATGAGATGAAGAAGATTAAAAAGAGAATGGGATAGATGACGTGGAATATCATCAAAAGTGTGGTCAAGATGCTTAGAATGTTGAAAATATCACAATACTTATTATAGAGAGAATATGAGGATGTCCATAATTGGCAATAGAGAGGGAAGGAGGATGTACAGAATTGACAATAGAGAGGGAAAGAGGATGTACATAATTGACAATGGAGAGGGAAGGATGATGTGCAGAAAGGACAAAATAGAGGGAAGGAGGATGTACATAATTGACAAAAGAGGGAGAAGGAGGATGTACAGAATTGACAATAGAGAGGGAAGGAAGATGTACAGAAACGACAAAATAGAGGGAAGGAGGATGTTCATATTTGACAATGGAGAGGGAAGGATGATGTACATAATTGACAATAGAGAGGGAAGGAGGATGCAGAGAATTGACAAAAGAAAGGGAAGGGGGATGTACAGAATTGGCAAAAGAGAGGGAAGGAGGATGTACATGAATGACAATAGAGAGGGAAGGAAGATGTACATAATTGACAATAGAGAGGGAAGGAGGATGTACAGGAATGACAATGGAGCGGGAAGGAGGATGTACAGAATTGACAATAGAGCGGGAAGGAGGATGTACATGAATGACAATAGAGAGGGAAGGGGGATGTACAGGAATGACAATAGAGCGGGAAGGAGGATGTACAGAATTGACAATAGAGAGGGAAGGAAGATGTACATAATTGACAATAGAGAGGGAAGGAGGATGTACATAATTGACAATAGAGAGGGAAGGAGGATGTACAGGAACGACAAAATAGAGGGAAGGAGGATGTTCATAATTGACAATAGAGAGGGAAGGAGGATGTACAGGAACGACAAAATAGAGGGAAGGAGGACGTTCATAATTGACAAAATAGAGGGAAGGAGGATGTTCATAATTGACAAAAGAGAGGGAAGGAGGATGTACAGAATTGACAATAGAGAGGGAAGGAGGATGTACAAGAATGACAATAGATAGGGAAGGAGGATGTACATAATTGACAATAGAGAGGGAAGGAGGATGTACATAATTGACAAAAGAGAGGGAAGGAAGATGTACTACATTGAAAATAGAATTGAAAGAGGATTACAACATTGACAATATGATAGGAAAGAGGATGTACAATATTGACAATAAGAATGGAAAGAGGATGTACAGAATCGAGTATGGAGGAGGTTTAGAACAATATAAATAGCGCAGGCGAGAGGGTGTAGAATGCAGAACAACGACTACACACAGGAAAAAGATTGTATATGTACATGATATAGTGAAATCGTAAACAAATGCTGTTTTATCCTTTTTCTATCACAAACTTAATCACACTTTAAGATAATTACTACAAAAACTGTGACAGGCTATAATTTTGACGAACACAAGTTTTATCTTTTAATGTGACGGTTTAGCGTCCTTGCTATTTTAATTCTATCACTAAAATTAGAATTTGTGTCCCATCACAAAGTTTGCCCAAGAAATGAAACATATATCTCAACAGGAAATAAACTTTCTTTGTAATCGCTTGAATTACCTGTTGCCTATTTGACAAATAAGCTACATATAGGTTAAACTCGATACGGCAACATATATTGAAGTTTAGATACAGGACGCGGAAGAATTTCATTTTCAATTTATCTTAAATTCAGCAAAATACAGAATTCATCTTAAGTAATGAAAGTGAGTATTACAGTTTTGATAGCTGTCTCTCACAGGGACATGATAAGTAAAAAAAAAAAAAAAAAAAATTTCGAATATTAAATAGTTTAGGAACGGTAACTCTGTGTGATTCCAGAGCTAACAGTAAACTACATTTTTATCCTGGTGCTTTTATTTTGTCTGTTAAAATTACCACTATACGAATTGAGTCCGACGTTAAAACACACATTGGCGTCACTGAATTGCACGGTGACCTAAGTGCACTTATAAATAAAAAAATGTTCACTTCTGGAAAGCGAAATAGCTGGATAGTTGTCCATTTATTAATTGGGTTCTATAAATATACTGTGCATATTTGTTACTTTACGGAATTAACACGACAATAAATGGCATTGTCTTGTGAAAATATTTCCCTTTACTGGGCTAAAGTTTCGGGACTATTTCCCTGTCATAACGAACCAAACAGAAAATTAAAGCTTAGATCACATGTCCCTGGAGCCGCACCCTCCCTTGTCAACACGCCAATTGGGCCGTACCATTCAGGTGAGAGGTGGGCGGAGGTAGTATTCATCTTGTCTTATCGTTTTATAGTCGATACTGCGGACGCTATTTAAAGCGTAGATTCACGCGTAAATGACCTGGGGCGTTTTGGGTAATTTTTGGCCTCATAAAAAGTAAAAAATTAAACTTTAATCTATTTACCAATTTCTGTTATAAACATCATATTGGTTAATTTGAGCTATCTTTCCTGGTGCATATTTTTTCAATGCACTTAAATGCCCTTCCATAGCTGTTGCTATGATGAAAAAGCCAAAAAATGATGTTTTGGAACAGTTTACATGCAGTAATGAAAGCCTCCACACGTGACAAGCACAAACTCCTTTCTACGAATGAACACTGGTATGACAATGTTTAATCATGTCGAACATTGATTTGTTTGCTGCATGTGGAGTCTTTTAATCATGGAAGCGTGTTTAGTTCATTTCATTCGAAATGGCTAATGCTCAACCAAATAGCACACAACAGACGATATCCACTCATTTTATTTTGAAATTTCATATTTTTGTACTTAATCTATTCTTGATTACGATTATAACAACTACGAGGCAGGAACCGACTGTTAACGCCCCTAGTTCTTTCTTGGGCTCGTGATTAAGAATATTGCTTTAGAAATATTTTGTGTTTGGTTTGAGATGGGGGATCACTATTACCATATAGGGTTATAATGATCCCCCATCACCTACCAAACAAATATTAATATTTATAAAGTAATGGTGGTGGGGTTGTTTTTGATCATAGCTTTATAGTTTCTGGTTTCTCGACCACACCCATTCCCTCAATCGTATTTCAGAATATTTTCCGAGCAGAATCGGTCTTTTCCAAGGAGAAGTTCTCTCACCAATTCTATACAGTTTATTTGTCAATGACTGTGAAACGATTTTTTTAAGAGAAAATGTTATGAACAGAGAATATTAGATAATGATGATTGTATTATAAATAGTTAGGATTAGGGTATTTATGGAATAACTGCTATGGAAGTAAGATTGTGTATATTTTATTTTTTTATAATTTTATTTTTTGAAACATTTTCATCATTACAGAATAATTACAATATTAATTTTCACACTCATTTTCATTCTTCAACCAACATTTAATACAAATTTTGTAATGATGTTTTTAGAGAGAGAGAGAGAGAGAGAGAGAGAGAGAGAGAGAGAGAG